ATTACAGATAGGTCAGTCGAAATTCCAAAGTCAACATCCGCTCTCCTAGTTTGTTTTTTAACCTGCCAGTCTTGTGACGGTTGTAGGTTTGCTTAGGTTTCTTATTAGGCTTTCTGTAATGGCGGTCTAATTATTCATCAACAAAATCGGGAGACAGCTTACATTTGTACATTGTACTATAAATAATAACTTCCTAAAAGATTTAATTTATTAATGCGTTGACGTTCTTTAATAGCGCTCGCAGCTATTTCACTTGGCTTATTAAGTAAAGTAATCACGAGTAGATGTAAAATTAACGATGGCTTTAAAAGTACTAAAAGAGATGTACCGAAATTTCAATGATGCCTGAAACAGCGGATACTTTTTCAATTCACCGATCGGCAACAATAACATCTGTCCACGTACCTCATTATGGTTCTTAGCACTCGTACTAACGAAAACATTCGTAAGCGATAGAGTAAAATTCAATTCCACTGCTCCACACAAATTCAGCTACCTGCCCACATCTTCCCGCTATGCTTTCTAATTTGGCATCTTTCTTAGTCAGATTGTTAGCAAACTCCTTGATGTCTCTGCATTATCGCTGAAGTGTCGGACTCCATCGATCAATCCATCCAAAACATATATACGGATTCAATTCATGTCGATTACCTTACCTGCAAACCTGCAACAAGTAGCTGCTTGTTGCAGGTTTGCAGGTTGGGTATACCCAGCGACTGATTGACGGCCGCGGTACGATGCGGCTCGAAGTCTACTATCATCATATCCGATATGTTCATTTTTTTTAACGCATCCCTGAACAGCAAAAAACTCGAGGAGGTCCGCATTTAAACAGAAACGCGCCAATGCGGTATATACTGCGCCTTTCGCTGATTTGCCCTGAAAGGAGCTGTTGCCGGTTCGCATGTGCGGACACTCAGAGGTCATGTTGAATATACACCGTGCAACTCCTTTAGCATTTCTGAAATTCTCAAAATGCATGTACAAAATTAATGTAACCTTTGTAACCTGTTTTTACATATTAGGAAAAGCATCATAAAGCCGACGTTCCGAAAATTAAGAAACATTGCACAGAAAACAAAATTTGTGATGAATTCCAATTTGCGTAAATATGAATTATACATGTGCAGTATACAAGCCGGTCCGGTCCGGTTGATGGCAACGTGAAGGTACTTCGTAGTTCGTACAGCTAATGCATATTGAACGCGCTGTTAGCGCTTATCACATGTATACGTAATGCTTGCGAGTTATGACTGCCGTTATTGTGTGCAAATACTTTGTAGTAACAATTAACATTGTTGCTACATTGTCTTAAACCGCAATATTTGCCGACTACTGATTTCTGTTTTGTTTAGTAGTTAATAACTTTACTCCAGAAATAGATGAAAAGATAGTGTACGGAATGTCATTCAATGCTAACATGCAAACGTTGCCAATAGAAGAACTCAACTTTACCCAACGGTCCACAGTTTCACATTAGAGGCAATTGTTTTCTTCCTTACTGTGCTTTTTTCTTCCTCGCAAGATCACCGCCGCGTGATAATTAATTTAGCCACATGGAAGAAAAATCGCTGTTTATACGGAAGTACCTTTACTGTTCCTAGCTTCGCTTCGGTCTTATAGTGCTAGCCCAAAGCGGTGCACTTTCCTAATACATGTATGGTGCGCTTGACATGTACGAGTATACTGGGTGCGATACACTGATACAAATCGCTCAGATTTCTGCAGTGTTTTTCGGTTTTTTCTCAGCTGCTTAGACAGATACGGGTTTTCGTAATGCTGATGTGGTTCTCCGTGTTCTTACTGTTAATTTGCACAAGGCAGTGCGCACCATTCGAAACAGAGGATTCATCCAGAGATTTTAACTGCACGGCACTGGAGGAGTCATGTATGGAGTATGGGAATTATTCTTCCGGCGGGGGCGATTTCCTGAAAGACTTACCTTGGTCCCTAACCGCCCCCAAGATGTCAGTCGATACAACCCCTTAGCAAAGGAGTACTGCCGGTGAGCGAATTAAGATGATAATTACAAGTTTACAACATTATCGCGCACACCAGATTGCAGACATTAATTTATCTCGAGAAGGATTGTTGAGTTTCGCTTGTATCTGCAGAGCTCTAAGGATAAATAAGATTGGCTGCCGGAAATAAACGGTTTGGAAAGGGAGGAAAGAGAGGGCCTAAAAATACTGTAGACAAGCGGTTCCGACTCATTGTCAGCTTCCGAGTGACCGAAGCTGCAGATTAGCCTAAACCATATGCCCGATAGGCGATATGTTCTTGTTGAAACGTCCTCTTTACGAAACGTCCTTGCGTCGAAACGGCCATGCGACATTGCGACGGAATGTCTCGCGGCGGGATGCCCTACCGACGAAACGTGGCTCCGCGAGATGACCTTGCTGAGAAACGTCTGCGACCACATGTCCTGCGACAAGCTGTCCGCGGCGGTGCCGGATGAAATAGCGAGGTATCTAATCGTTCTGATGTATACTTTTTATAAAATGAGTGCTCAACAGCTCAACACAGTACGCTTGTAAGTGTCAGCGACATCGACCATTCATATAAGCGGAACATTATCCTGTCACACAATGCTACTTTAAAGCAATGCAGAATTATCGCTGCGTCTACACGTTACTGTATTCGGAAAACGTTGCTGATTCATTTGGTTCTTGTGGGTGGCCCCTTTAGCGCTGCACATACTGCAGACAGTTTTGCTGTTAGCGTATGCCAGAACTGCACCATATCAGCTATGCCGGTAGCCGCTTTTTGCCAGCGTCCCGAGGCGCTTAGCTCCCGAACGCTTCCTCTCGCTGCGAATACTGAATCACCAAGATACCTTCAACACAAAAGTTATCAGATTACAACGTCTACTAGCTGTACGATCAGCAGTCCACAATATACCCTGTATGGACGAAAGCTCGTAATGCGCCAAGAAGGTTGGTAGAAACGGATTCATTCAGCGTTATGTTGTATATTCCTTTCACAGGTGTGCCGAACAGGTATCCCAGCTCCATGCCATGAAAAGCTCCTGTTAAAAGATTTTATCACATACTAAGTTTAAGCGGCACTAACAACGGTAAATGCACAGATAATGGCGGCTGACGTGTATTACGAAGGAAAAAATCATGTTGACTGTTGAGTATAAAGCGTTTCGTGGCTCCGCACTAAGTTCTGCTAATTTCGCTTTTACTGAAGAAGTATGGTTAGATCTGAAGAGGAGTGTTTTACCTAAGTTCATATACTGTGAATCATAGGAAATGCGATATAAATGGCTGGATATTCCTGCGAGACCGTAAAGCATGACCTCGGTTGCAGACGGTTGTCCAAAGGAAAAATCCGTCGCTACCTGTTGGGAATACAGTACATGGAAATTTAATACGCATGATTTGTATTTCAAGAAATGTTACAATTTGCCTGCTTACGTGAACGAATGCCAGAAGAATATCAGATTTGTTCAGATTTGCGTTGATATTGTACTGCTGCATTACACTTTCGGATAAACTCGCTTCACTTGAAGGGCAAACTGCACCCGGCAGAAATTGAGCGCCGATGATTTGTTTGATTGTTTCTGTCGTTAACACTTCACTTATGTTGAATAGTTCGGGATTCGACGCTGCCAACACAGGGATTTTAAAGCGTGAAAAGCAGAAGGAAAAGAAGAACTTACTTTGCAAAACCGCCGATGAATCCTCACTGAGATAACCACTCAAATAACTCGGCTCCGAATCTTTGGTTTCACGACCAGGAAACGCTGATATCGATTTCAGAGGCTCTTGGGGAATATGGTACCCATCGATTACCATAGCGTACCTCGAAAACGCCTGAAAAAATATTACGAGATACTGATATAATACAGCTGCATCGTTATTTTACCAGTTTTCACTTCGTCAGCTCTATCCGTGACTCACCTGCGAGTGTTGTTGGAATCCAGCGCTTTTATTCAGCAACAGCTGCACCGGAACACGCTGTAGACACGCCACTACTTCGTGGCTGTCCTTGAAATTTCCACAACCAACCGCATTAGCCAGGTTTAACGCTCCTAATTTCGGCTCCTTGGTAATCGCAAAGTGCGCTAAGATGCTGCCGCTCATAGCAACCGCACCTTGGATTTGCTCTGCAAACCATATTTTTTTAAGAAAAGGCTTGAGGTCAGATATTTTTATCTATACTTCGAACGCTTCCGTCGAGAAAAAGTGCGGAAACCAACGCCGCACCGGCACTTTGACCCATAATGGTTATTCGATTAGGATCGCCCCCGAATTTCCGGATGTTGGCTTTTGTCCATTCTAGCGCCGTTTTGCAGTCGCTTAATCCATAATTTCCACGTGCTGCTTGGTCGCCCGTGGACAGAAATCCTTATTCAAAAATATTTTTATCAATACACGATCCACGCTATGCATTACGTGGGTTCACAGTAAAAACCAAGAACATACCGAAAACGGAAAGACGATAATTGATGGTCACAACGATAGAGTCAATCTCCATGGATAAAGCGGAGCCGTTGTACATTCTCTTGTCGCCAACTAATGTGGATCACATCGTTTATAAACAGTTTAAGAAATAAACTTTTCAAATAGAAAGAAATAGGTACTTAATAGAAACGATAAAGCATTTGACATACAAATCAAATTAGTCAAAAGATATTAAAAAGTGATACCTGTACTTTTTTTGTTTCTAGCGTACTAACATAGAAAGGCTCCGCCAAAAATCCATATTACAACCGGCAATGGTTCCTGTCCAACCATTCTCGGGACCGGTGCGTAAACATCCAAGTAGAGACAGTCCTCGCTCATGAGGGTCGGTTTAGCTGACAAAGCGATTTTTTGGGGACACATAGGACCGAGTGAGGGAGACGAAATGTTTGGCCAATATGAGTAATCGTCATTGACCTGAGAATCCTAGACGCCCCCAAACATCCCCAGTTGAAGTTAGTACAAATAACACCAAGGCGTTGCTCATGCAAAAAAGGTCACCTGGAAGCGTTGGGCGTTACCGTAGCGAATACCGTAATAGGCATATCCAAAGCGCTGCCCATTCCGAGAATGATATCGTTGCCCGTGGATAACTATATCTTCCGATAAGTGAATTTTACCGGGACTGCTAAATCCTTCTGCCACGGATATGCTTTTTGCGCAGGTCGGGAAAAAAACAACGCAGAGAAATGCATAAGAAACGTGAACGTCGGCACGGAACCACATTTTCACTCCTTAACGTTCAGGCACTTTTTGGTACTGAATTCTGTACGTAAAATTCACTAACATTTTCGCCTTATATTGTTCATTAATTTGGATCGTCTACATCCATTTTAAGTACCAGCCAAGTCATGTCATCTTGCCATTACAGTTAAAAACTGCATTGCGAATGCAGTGACCATTAGTGGGCGCTAGTCGGTTCCACCTTGCATTGAGGCGACTGAATGAGAGTAATTGTATGACGAGAAATCAACGATCGTTTGACATTAAGTAACCGAAATTGTGCTGGAATGACGCTGGTAATCTCTATTCGGACAAGGTACCAGGCAATTACATTCCAAAGCCCAGTCTACTTTCCACCTGTATTGTCGGCAGGCTTCTCATTGTCCATTATCGACCACCAATCTACCAAAGGCCCTATTAACGCAAAAAATGCATGCACCGTATCTCTGGAATAGCGCGTGGACTAATATTGTACTGCCACGGGACAGTCGAAAATTTCAGTTATCGACCAGTCGTTGACGCAGAAAGAGTAGAATCTTATCAGCACGGAAATGTTCGTGCAGAATCCTTTGTTTCCCTAATCCCTACTCACCATTCATGACCGCAGCTGACCTGTTTACTTTTAGCAAATAAATATTATTCAGTGTTTTGCGACTATTTTTGATAACGAAATCGAACTTTTATTTGTGTCTCATTTATAACAGTGGATCACTATAAATTTAAAATCTGATTTGGGAACAAAAAAAAAATAAAAAACCTTGATCCCCCAGCGTACGGTCCGTATCTGGGATGCTTGGCTATCCAGATGCTTTTTTTGTGAATATGGAACTGCTGCGTGTACGCTTGACCAAGGCCCACATTCTGTTACGAAATGCAATGCTTTTCGAACCAAGGCGCTAGCTTTTGCCTTCGACCGCACCACGTAGACGGCTACATGGTTGAGCAATTAATTAGTAAACGCTGCGGCATGCTACGTACGGCGTTGTGCACCGAAAGCTGTAAATCATAGCGTTTTGAAAATTTGGATTCCAGTAAAAAAGCTTACATGAAAGGTAACCGAAATGCGAATTAATAACCTGCATGAAAAACCAGTGGCATTGACTTCTACTTCACTTGGTCCGCGGACTGCCGCAGCGGAACGGCATCGCATATGGCAAACGAAGTCGCTACGCTTTGAAGAGTACCGCTGGTTCTACGTAGTTGCCGATTGGACTTTTATGATGCATACTGTGCACAGTTTTGTTAAAACAATATATCAGCTTCAGGCTGAAGATTAGTAGTATTTACTGCAGGAATGAAATTGATGGATATAACAGAGAATCTGTGAGTCCCACTCTAGCAGATGCGGCCGGAAAAGAAACGCCATGCTACTGCCTGTTTGTAACCGACGGTTGCCGATGCTGATTGCCATGCAGATTGCAGATGAAACAAAATACGTACGAGGACGCTCTTCTGATAGTCGCTTAAGAACTAACAACAGTAACTGCAACCATAATGCGATTTTTTGTTTGCCGCTTTGTGTGCCCCATCAGCCAGCCTTGCAAGAATATCCAAGGCGAACTTGATCCATGAATCCATGAATCTGATATATTTTTTTTTAACAAAATTGTGCAAAGTATGCATCATAACAGTCCGATAAGCAGCTTTTGAACCAGCGGTACCCTTTAAGTAGTATTACGCTAAATTTGGATCATTTGAAGTAGTATTACGCGAATGCATATTTTGTTATACTGATGGCCTTTGCCCAGTAAAGATATAGGCGAACCATTTGAATTGGGTGCGTGAACTGCGGGTGCGGGTAAGGTCATGTAAAGATGGACATAACCGATCGCTTCCAAAATGTAGCAACTCTGTATGTACATGTACTACAGAAAAGCTCTGCTAAACCTGTAAAGTCCCTTAAGAAATTAAGAAATTATATATGAAATCAAGTAATTCTATTTTTTTAAATCTTTTGGCATGCAAACAGCGTCGCAATCGCAGATGTTTATTTTTCACATCGGTTCGCGCGTTATGCGTGTGAGCTGTACATTTTGATTTTTACAATAAATCAGAGTGAGAAAAGCAGAAACTAAGCAAGCTGTTAAACAAAGGTCAACAAAGGCGCAAGAGAAAGCTCCCCGGAAAACGGAACCGCTTCCGTCCAGTGTAAACGCGACCGCTGTTCAGCGGGTTCACGCTTTGGTAGTGTGGATCAGAGATCTTTTTATCAATTATTCGCTAGCAGCAGCTGTCGTGTCCTCACCTCCCGCGGCGGCGGTTGTGTCTTCACCTCCAGCAGTGGTATCTTCACCTCCAGCAGCAGTGGTATCCTCGCCACCGGCGGCGGAAGTGGTGTCTTCGGCTGCCGCGGCGGTGGTCGCTTTGCCGCCGGCCGCCGCTTTCTTGGTGGTAGCCGCACCACCAGCCGGCTTCTTCGTGGTAGCACCGCCGGCCGCCTTCTTGGTGGTAGCACCGGACTGCGCGGCCTCGTCTCCGCTGTCGCTAGCATTTGCGGGTTTGCTTTGAGGAGCAACATAATCAGCCGGGGGAGTGTCGAAGAGATCCTTGTCAGTGTACAGTCGGGAGTTGGCGAAATCCTCCTGCTCGGCGAATCTGCAAGGATTAACAGTTGAATTTCATGCAACTCTATGTGCACATAGCAATTTAAGTCTTTAATCAGTGTAATGTACTCATGCTCACATATCCACAATATCATATATATTGTGTATGAATTAGTGTGATATTATATGCTCGCATATCTAGGGAATTAAGAAATTAAAACAATTTTATTAAGCAATTTACACATTAAAGCCGATAAGTAAGTATTGTACACGCTTATTAGTTTTATTTGTCACGTGTGTAAAGTTACTTATTAACACTGTGACAGTGTACAGACAGATAGATTTTCTTTCGTACATTGAATTACGCTTGCTAAAAAAATTATTAATATATAATATGATTTAAATTAGTAATCGATATATTAAAATTTATGCTTTTCTAATGGTAAAATAGATAGTACAGATAGGTAATAAAATAACTTCTAATGAATATGATGCTATTATCGTTAAAAAAATAAGAATGTTGCTTACTTCTCGCAGTCAACGTTGAAGAAGTAATCGCAGACGAGGGTGATCTGGTTGAAGAGGGTGCTGTTGACGCACAAATAGCTGGTCTTGTTCCCGTTGACATCGCAACGATGGAATACCTGACACTTGCTGGGCACATCGGCGTAGAAACCCGGCTGCTTCTTGCTGCTGCAGTCGAAGCTGCTGTCATCGGGGATCTCGGCCAGTGTCGGATAGTCGCCAGATTTGGCCTGCAGGATAGCGGCTACTTCCGCGGCATCCAGAGCCGGCTTCAGGTAATCCCAGACATACTTGCCACTGCTGCTGCTGTCTCCCGCGGAGGATGACGCTGATTTCGCGGCGGGCTTGGCGGCCGCTTTCGGGGCGGCGGCGGCGGTCTTCGGCTTGGCCGCTGTTTTCGGAGCGCCTCCTTTCTGGCAGGATACAATGCCCACAACCACGGCTAACACAATCAGGAATTTCATGATGACTAGGAGGATTTCACTACACTAAAGAGTGTAATTCTTTAAAGTGGAGGTAGGCGACGCAGAACAGCAGCGGTGCTTAATTTAATAAGCTATACAATGGGAGTATTGATATGATTTTGATTGCCGGTTAATGCCGGCTTTTTATATGATTTTCAACGGCTCAGTTTAGGTTTGCGGGCGCTTTTGTTGTTATGCAATCAACCACATAAAAAAGCCGGTTCAGTGCTGTATGAAATTAACGCCGGTGTTAGTTAGTCATGTCAGCGGTATAAACCATAAACCATGTGCGTTCCACGTGCTAATGTATACATTTGATAATATTTAATAATATTATTAGACGAACCAGGGTCGCGTTATGTAATACCGTTTGTGCCTGTTGTTAAAGCATGTTTCGCAAAGTGGTTCCAGTGTTAGGGACGCGTCAAGTGTCACCGGTGGAATTCGCTCCCAGGATTTTGGGCAGCTTAATACGAATTGAAATCCAGTTTATTAGTACTTGCGAATAATGCACCGGAACCGGTTGCGATTTCAGATAAGAACATCAGCTTTTAAAAATTCAAAGAATAGACTTGTTAAGCATGCCTGCCACTTCAAAATTTATCACCATTGGAATTCGCTCCCAGAATTTTCGGCACTTTAAAGATTACTAATTAGGCCCAGTTTATTGGTTGTTTTCCGGTAATATATCTGCAATTACATAGCAACCGGTTACGATCTAAATCGCATCCAACCTGCAAAATTTTGCCTGTACTCGGCCTTTTAAAAAATATCTGCAGTGGATTATATAACATTTATCGACAAAATCTGTGAAAAAAATCAGAATATTTTCCGCATATTCCGATTATTTTCTCAATACGCGTCCGTACAGCCTTCCAAAATAATCTTTTTTAATAAGAAATTTTTATTCTCCTCCAAGAAATTTAATCGCAAAATAAGAAATAAAAAACAGATTTTATACTGCAACCAAGCCTTTAGTGGGAAAATATAGACCAATTACAGAAAATTGTCTCCGAAACAGACATTCTGTTGTCATACGCTTTTTTAAAACCAGATTTATTTTCAAAAAAAATTTATTATGCTAATTTTGAATATAATCTTACTGGACATTCACCATGTTCGATCATAACTGCAAACCAATGGAAAGGTGCAGTTGCCACAACACTACGATGACTACTATTTCTAGCAGTCGAGAGATCGAGAACTTGACGATTTTATCATGGAAGTACGTGTTCAACGTGACGCTGCATGTCGCATGGAATACAAAATACAAATACGAAACAACTAAATGAAATAGTGCGAATCGTCTGTTCAGTGATTAAGACCGTTCAGCTTGACGGAGTTTAATGTATCAAAGCCGGTCACTAATTTTTCCATACCCGGGCTACTTCGGGCAAAAATCCAAGGGCCGCGAAATCGATATTTCATTTCCATTTTTCCAGTATTTATCATTTTAACCACTTGTTGAGCACCATTTTTCTCTGTGTACTGATTGGTACGTAACCATCCTCTGATCTGATAGTGTGGCAGTTTTTTTTAAATTAAACAGCAAGACGACAAGGTAAAGAATACCTACTTCGCTTCGCTTATCAAATAATCTGTATATAGTCGAACACTTATCAAATAATTTGTTTTCCCGAATATATTCCTTCTAGTTCCTCCACAAAGCTAAACCATATAACAAAAAAAGCCAAACCTACACTTTATAACACAATTAAAATTTGCAACAGACAAAACAGACCGAGACAGCACTATCCCACCCGCAACCGACAACAACCGTCCGAAATCGACCAAATCCTTTTAACAAACCATATTCCTCATATAAAACCCTGCTAATCACCCGTTAACTCTTCCTGCCAGACGGTCGACTGGCCCAGCACCTTCTCCAGCACCGCCTTGGTCGCCTGACACTGCCGCTCCACCCCCTCATCGTCATCCTCCGCCAGCTCCACCAAAAAGGTCATGGCTTCCGGCAGCAGGTCGCCGTACGCTTCGCCCAGCTTTTCCGCCAACGCGGACAGCGTCTGCAGGGCGGCGATGCGGACTTCCGCGATTTCACTGCGACTTTTCAGGCAAATCTGGTAGTGCAGCGGTTTCCACAGACTGTCGTCGTTCAAGCACACCACAAAATCCGCAATGCAAGCAATCAACGCGGGACTGCTGCGCAGATAGGACACCGTGTCGTGGAAATTGTCCAGCTGGTTGATTAACGGCTGCATCAAGATATCGTACTGATCGGCGTTAAAGAATCCTACAAGGAAAATAACATAAACCCCACATGTTCGACGAGCGGAAGTTTTCCAAGTACCAATTTTTTTATTCGACAATTAACTTAATTATTATTCTGTTATTTGCAAATAAAAAACTATACTTCGCCTAATCAAAATAGGGAAAACTCCTTGAACCCAGACCGCCACAGCGTAGCTTTCAAAGGATTAAATTATTACTTGATAAGATTCACGACGCAAACATCCACCGCACTACGTCAGCCACTTCGATATACGATGCACCTTCAACTACGACCGATATTCATATCTTTGCCGTTTTCGAAATGACACAGATGCAATTTATTGCGAAAAAAAACACAATAATAAACCCATTTATTTCTTATTTTTTAAAGATTTTATGCTTCTGCCTTTGATACGCTGAAATGGTTAAGGTAAATGAATCCATTATCGTGTTACTCAAAATGCACTATTATCTCTTGTCAAATTTTCACTTAACAGTTTCCGCAGTTCGCTTCGTATAAAACTGGTGTGATAAGATTTTTCTATTAAAATAAATATTCCCGTTTATTCATTTCAATCAAATACGCGAATGTTATTGAAAATACTTTGATCGAAATCCTGAAAGTGTGGCACCACCCATACCTTCGACATCGAACTTGAAGAAACGGCTCAGCACCCCAAACATTTCATTCAGTAGCTCCACTCGCACATCCGTTTTCGCAAACTGGCCACTCTCGCCTTTAACCACATGCAGCGCCTCCATCAACTTGACGGTCTGCCCGATCACCGTGGACGCGAAGATGGTGAAGAGAAGCTTGAGGGTGTCGGTCAGACGGGCGACAATCCGGAAGAACACCACCCATCGTTCACCGCTCTCGGACGAAATCACCCACTGGTAGATGCGCATGAAGAGTCCGCGGAACACGCTGTCCGGCATGTACAGCACTAGACTGCTCAGCGTGTCCAGCGCCAGAGTGGACGCGGCTTCGTGGTGCTGCTCCAGGACGGATAAGAGGAAGTCAACCAGTGGCCGCTGCAGACTGAGCATCTCGGCCACCTGCGGTTTCGGGAGTTTCGCCAGACTGACGCTGAGGATACGCAGCAACGCCACACGAACATCCTGTCAACCCAAATGTAGTGTCAATAAAACCCTTAACTCCCCCTAACGGTCGCCTGCATATTTAAAGGGCCAAATACATCACCAAATTAACTGTAATTAGTTAAAAAACAGGAAAAAAGGTTACTAAATAAACTGATATTGATGACATAAAATTAACATATAATATTAATAAGGCCAATAACTAAATGCGACAGATACCTGTACAGGAACTACAAATGAACAGTACAATGTAACGTCACTTCGGCGAGTAATCTCCGCTTCCCGATACGTTTTTCTAAGAACTGCTTGCGGTTTATTCTTAAAGACTTAGACACAATAACGGTAAAAGCACAATCACACATCTTCAGAAACAAACTATTTAAAAAGCGCAAATCCAATCAAAGCGACGGCATATTCTACAACAATTACCATCCCACCTCGACATTAGTCAAGCCCAAATTCTACATCTTCTGCCTTCCTGAAAACTAACGCAACGGAAATGGTTTGCAAGTTTCTTCGCTATCAGAAATTAGATTAAGTCAGTCACTTACGTGCTTGATCCGCTAAATGAATAAAACAAACGTACTGTTAGACGACAACAAATTTTAATAACTAAATTATTGAATAATATTTTTAAATATTATTATTGAAGTAAAATGATGAAAACTGAATAAACAGGGCAAACACCGCAAACTACAGTAGCTACTAATCGTCGTTCCTTCATCGTGTAAACTACAGTTGATAAATTTTCTTAAAACATGCTTACGGCATATTCTGCCAATGGTAACGTCAAAAAGAAACAATGTACGCAAAAACAGTCCAACTACATACAAAGACTGCAGTTTCAAGAAGCTACAAAATCTTCGACATGATCGAAGGTCAAGACCAAGCAAGCCACTACTCTACGTTTGTTATCATCCAGTTCAATGTGCAACGACGAAATTTTCGTACCTTAGTTTCATCAGTTTTTTCGAAGGCCTCCTTCACCGCCGCGAACACCATGCGGAACGCTAACCCGCCGGTTACAACGCCTTCTAATTTCTCCAGACCGGCATCAAACTGTTTTCGCAATCCGTCCTTCACTTTCACGCCGCGCCACAGCGCGATCAACCGCAACACCGCCGCCAAGAACGGACTGAGCAGACCGCCCAGCACACTGACACCGCTCTCCATCACGTCCACCCCGCTGACCACATCCACGCCGCCGCTGCTCGCTCGCCGCGTTAAACACAACACCAACAGCGGCATCAACTTGGGGAGTTTGGGAAGCACGCCCAGTTTCGCGCAGCGGATTATGGCTCCGATTGTTAATAAGCTTTCGGACAGCGCATGCCCGTCTTCGGCATTGAGGCAATTCAGGCAGACACGCAGAACGGGCGGCCACAGTTCTTTGCCGAGGATCATAACCAACTGACGCAGACAGTACAGGCATCCGCGTTGGATCACCGGACTGATGGACACTCGGTGTCCGCCACTATCCACGCGTTTTCTCTTACCTAGGGTGGAAATAAAAATTTCCAAAAGTCGACATTTAAATGTCGAATCGAAATTATTTTAAAATTAAACGATCATTCGTACGTTTAAAATAACGTTTATTAAATAATATTTTTTTAACATTTTTTCGAATACTAAGATTAAAATCTATAGTAAAACCTTCTACGTATCTACAATAAACCAGTTTCAAGTGGCGGAAAAAATTGCAGGTTCAATTAGAAAAAAGCTAATTGAACGAGAAACGAGAGAACATTTACTTCAAACATCACTGTCATTGAGGAAATTGTGTTCTGCAGGAATTTCGCTTCTGGCTTCATGGCTTATAATTGCTTTCACCTCAATAACGACGAAAAACTTGATAACACTAACTTTTTATTTCTGATGATAAATTCTTCGCAAATTTGTTTCCAGATTCTTTTTCATTTCCCGTTAAAAGGCTCCCGTTAAAAACAGTATTGGTAAAAAAATATTTTCGAGGCTCAAGCTTTATTTCATGTCAAATTTCCACTGAATAACACAAAATGTCTAAATTTTGGCTAAAAAATCAAACACATTAATTTTCAAAACACGACCCCAAATATGTAAATTTTAACCTTATTCATACCCGCTGTTGCCGCATCCTCATCCGTATCCGCACTCGTCACACCGCCCTGAAGAATTTGAATGATGGTGTTCACCAACGGTTTCAACAAATTCACATCATCCGTCGGCAATCGGTCTCGCACACTTAACGCACCACCCAGCTCTTCCAGCGCCATTTTCAAGGCGCTCTCATCCTCCGCTTTCTTGAGGATGTTATCCATAATAGTGACGAACGTCGACCAGGACATTTTACCCAGAACTTCCGTGGCCGCCGCCGATGATTTAGCCAGTAAATCCGCCCATAACGGGCGTTCCGCCGGTGGACGCTGGGTGCTGTTGGCGCGGGCATGGAACTGGATGTTTAGGAGCGCTGTTAGGAGACCTTCCAGTGATGCATCCGCATCGTTGCCAGCTTTCTGTGATTCCATGGGGAAATAGTAGGAGATGAACGACATGGCCACGGATACCAATTGGATCTGCTGTTCTTTCGGCAAGTTGGCGGGAATCAGCGGCTTCTCGAATCGTATCCTTTCAACGTGCTTCCGTTTTGCTGCAGAAGCAATTAGAATTTCAGAGTTATACGCTGCCATAGATAAATATAATTCCACTTCCATCACGATGAAGAAAGGAAAACGTTAGTAAGATTTAGATTAGCGCGAAAGTCTACAATAACGATTCTTTGTCACGCGTAGCTTCGCTGTCGGTTACACAGTCAAATTAATACTGCAATCGTAGTTAAGTGGCTTGTGCGTTCTGAAATGTGCTTTGGTTTATTTGCATAAACTGAAAATCATATATCCGTACCCGGTATTGTTCAGTACTATGTGAATAATTTTTTTCCGAAATTACTCTTCATCGATACATTCAACTGGTCACAAGAAAACTGGTTCGAAGATACTGCAATCATCAAACTGTAAGCTCTCCCGAAACACAGGCTCGAATGCTCGTAATTGCAACCCCCCGTCCCCAGCGAGGCGCCCTAAATGTTTGTGATAACTCAAAAATGGAACGAAATGTTCTAGAAATTAGTGCGACAATAATTAAAAAACCTACAAAGGATACAAATAAATAAAAGCTGATCAATTAACAGCAAAAAATAAAAGATTAGCAATTAATAAACAGTTAAATTATTAATTAATTTTGCTGTTTAGCAATTAAATTAATAAAAGTTTAGAAATTAACAGCAATTAATAAAATATTAGCAGCAATAAATAATAATCAATCAAAGTTTTTAAAAAAACCAAGAACTGATAGTAATGACCAAAGGGTAAATACAAACTAATAAATCAAACAAAACTACCTATTTGTTACCCACATAACAACAGTATGCGAAAGATGACGCATACGCAACTGTCAAAGAAAATAGTCAGGCAGAGGAGCAGAAAGCAAAATGGTACTAAACGTAAACGTAAGCTCGAAAACCCTCACCTGTCCACGTTTGAGCATCCAGCACCCCCGTCTCTGCCACGACAAACTCCACCACCTTCCGCACACTCTCTACCCGCATCCCCTGATCGCAGCGCTCAAACAACTCCCCCAGAAACTCACACAACACCGGATACCCAAATTTCTTGCTCTTCCCCTCCGGTTCCACGGCCAGTCCCTTCCCCACGTACAGCGTGCCCAACAGCACCATCCCAATCCACAGTCCCTCCTCCCCGGTGACCTCCACCACCCGGCCGAACAGGAGGCCCCGCCGGTGCGGGGGAATATGGGGCAGTGCGTCCACCAGCACCTCCCAGATAGCGCGTACCGCGTCCGCCGTGGAGGCGGCGGTCTGCAGGATGACCGGGACGATGGCGTCGATGATGCGCAGGATCATGTTGAGGGAATATTCGTCCTCCTTGTGGAGGAGATGGCTGCCGGTTAAGGAGAAAATGGACATGCACGATTGCAGGATGGTGGAGGGCAGGCGCTGCGCCAGTGTGGACAGTAAAGCCAGACCAGCAAGCTGGGTGTGGATGTTGCTGCTGGCGCGCAGGCAGTCGACGATGACGGCAATGTCCAGTCTGCGCGGTGAAGTCTGTGAACGAGAGAAAAGAGATACACAGTACAGAATACAAAAAAAAGTGTTATAGTACCACTCTGAAATATCCCAGCCACAGTTAAAAATCCTTCAAGCACAGTTGGATGTCTCTCTATTTGGAGTGTATTGATGTTCAATTAACTCAAGCAAACCAATTCAAAACACCATACACCAAATCAAAGGTCTAATAAAACGAATATTCGGTGTGTGTACGCGCCATAATACTAATAGCCGTAAATCGGCTATCGAATCGGGCATCCTATAATAATTGTGAAGCAAAAAATAAATAGTTCCAAATACGTAGCAAATGATTAAAATCAAATACACCAAATAAATCAAAGAATTAACTAAATGAATTAATTAAGCGTTGCATATTAAACTTGTTCGATATGAATAAAATTTGCTGACACTCTTCTCGATACCTCAGTTTCTGATACTTTTGATTTTTGGTACCATTCTCTGATTTTAAAAACTATTTTACCCCAATAGTTCAAAATAGTTTACACCCGAAGGGTGCAAATGAAATGGCAACAACAAAGTAAAGGAATTGGTGGAGTCCAGCCACCGCACTACGATTGATTCAACTCATAGGACATAATTACTAGTATTACTTACACCCGGTGCAATACTAACCTTCAAGCTGCTGGGCCGTAGTCTGTTCCGTGCGTCGCTGACAGTGAAATTAATCACGGCAAACACCTTCTGCCGCACCATCTCCACCTGCTCCATCAAGTCCTCATCCCCCGTCAGCACAATGGACTCCTTCAGCAGCTCGCACAGTTCCTCCACCACACGCCGCACTCCCGTCACTTTCTTCTTGTTCAACAACAGCTCCAGCAAATCATTGGCATGCCGCCAAAACGTCACAGTTTTCCGTGCTGGGTCATTCATCCGGGCTAACGCACCGCTCAGCTTCTTCCGTTTCGCATCGCCTTCCGCTATGCGCCCATTCAGCTGGTGCAGAATCAATTCCGCCGGCAGACGAACATGTTTCAAATAGCGGCGAAACGAACTGTTCATCGCTGGATTCGCCTTTTCCACGTAAAACTTCAGAATTTTCTGTAAATAAGATCAACAATCAACCGCCCAGAACCTCAATAGTAAGACAAACAAAAAAATAAAAAAAAACGCCAACAAGCAAATAAACAAAGAAACTGCAAATAAACAACTTTGAATTTTTAGTAAAAAATATTGATTGGATTTTTTCGCAAACCAAAAAAATAAATTTTAAAATAAACCATATAGTTATACAGTATAGAGCAGCAAATAAATATACAAAAATATTCGAAAATAAAAATAACTAAAAAAGATAAATACAAATTTAACATTACAGTTGTAATGTAATGTAACATTACAGAATATATCAATACAATTTTATTATGCTTAAATTAAAAAGTAACTAGTTGTAGAAGTAGTGCACAAACATTTAGAATTCGGTTGAACAATCCATCGCCAAACTTCTCCCGATCGAAGAACTGGAAATTTCGCAGAACAACTTCCGCTGGCGAGGCAATACCGCAGCGCCCCGGAAGACGAAGCGCGTGCTCGATGGTTGCCAAGACCATCGTCTCCATGTCGACTTCCCATGGTCCCTGGGCGTCGCTGCCGCGAAACGCTCCCGAATACCGCTCCGCCAGTTCGTTAACCATTTCTAATTCGGTGGAGTCCAATGTATCATAGGTGGCCAATAATTTCTCCATTACCGGCTTCAGTCGGACAAGAATCCTTACGGACTGTAAAATGAATAATATAGTAATTCCAATAAGAATTTTTTAGACACCGGTTATTTTCATTCTTTTAAATGCAGACCCTCATAAAAACAGTAAATTTTTTTTCCTTCCTTCTTTCAAAGGCAATGATGTTTTCAAAAATAAACTGATTTTGCTTAAATAAAATAATTTAATACAGTTTTATCAGAAATGCCCAATGGACCAATAATGACATACAGCCAGTACTTCCGGAACGTAACTGCCTGCCACACCACTACGATGACTAGAAGTATCGCTTTGAGCGCAGATTAACGAGAAAGGTTGGGAATTTTGCAGTTTTACCACTGAAGTTCGTATTCAAATTTCAAAGTAACGCTGCTTGCCGAGTCGGACCTATGAAACTACAAATACCGGCAAACTGCAGTCCAGCACAATAAGAAACATATTTTAAAATCGAAATTCAACCCGAATTATTTAATTTCAAATTTACAAATAAAACTAAAAAAAGAATACATATTTCAAAATTAACCAAAAAAATCTCCACCGGCCTGGTAAAATCTGTATTTAAAAAACTGGGCTACAGTACAAGGGAGACAACAAATAATCACCTTTACCTGCACTAAACGCAGCGCTTTCAGCATCTCCAATTGTGCCACACTGCCCAGTCGTTCACTGCCGACTGGTCGGAACAATACATCCAACCAGAACTCACGCGTCCGCTCCGAAGTTGCTCCCGCTAACACATCGGCCAACACCTGACTGACGATGAACCCATCGACTTCCATGCGGTCGGCCTGACTGACCAGGACCTGCAGCAGCTGTTTCACTTCCGGTGAGGAGATCTTGTGCCGTGCGACGATGTTGCGGCAGACCAGCAGGGCATGCCGGCGGATTTGGATATGCTGATTATTGAGGGACGGCAAGATTACCGCCAGCAAACTCACCGCGGTCTCATCGTGCAGGGTGTCGGGGGAAATCAGCGCAACACACTGCGCGGCGAAGGACAGCACACTGGAGCGCAGAGCCGGAGAAATCCCCGAACTACAAGCGCATAATTAGGAAAAAACAACCGAGAAAATAATAATTCATAAGTAATAATAAAAAAATGGTTCATAGCAAACTGGACCACAGAACCATGAAATACCCAACTACAAGCGCATAGTTCAGAAAAATTAGCCGAAAAAAAGGGCTCGTAAGTATGGTATGCACTCGCCAGTAATCGCAGCGGTAAACATATTGAAGCTCGCCACAATACAAGCGTAGTGCTGTGGCTTCGAAAATTTCTGAGTGAAGACGTAAACCCAGCAGAAGAAACTTAATGACACAATAAAAATTTAATTACCTCTCTATTTTGCAGCAACAATAAAAATTTTTTACAGACTTTGTTTTGCATAAACAGGTAAATAAAGTGGATGATTTTATTCAGGCTAGTTCAAATAATTATTTATTAATAAATTTTCTTTTACCACTAAACAGTATTTTCAAATTTTGTAAAATAAATAAACCTTTTTTCACGGTTTTGTTTTTACAAACAGATTAGCAAATCGGAACAATTTTTCAAGCTGGTTCAAATAATTATCTATTAACAAATTTTATTTTAAAAATCAAATTACAGTATTCTTAAGCTTCGTTGAATTGCACGTAATTACAATGTCAATTTCACAATACAGCATTTCACCGATATTTTTGATACTAAATAATGACCAATATTTCACCCACCCGGCTTCTGCCATGGCCGTTAACATTTCCTCCACATCCTTCAACACCCGCACCATCTTTTTCACATACAACGCCACGGTCTGCTCAAACAGCGCGCGATGTTTCAGCTTCTTAACGCTTTCCAACGCCAAGCGCGCCGCACGCAGCAACACCTTCCGAGCCGTGCCGTCACCCAGGAAATATTCATTCATCGAGAAGAGCTTCCCGAACCAATCCAGCAGAACACCAACGGGCATTTTGCCGCGTTTCAGCATTTTCACCACCACTTCCCCGGACGTCGTGTCCACCTCTTTGGAGGAAATATAAATGCGGCTTAAAAAGGATGAAATAATATCGAATAATGTGCATCCTTCGGCGGATGCCAACATTTCTGATCGGTCACCGATCAGGCGAATAAACACGGTGATGGTCAGGAACGACGTCCAGAGTGGTAGATCAACATCCGGTGATGACAACAGGGAAAAATACCGGCTGATACATGCAGGGATTTTAGTAGCATGGTTGGTAAGAATGTCATTGCTGACGGCATCCAGCAGCGCAAACAACGACGTTTCGGAGGATAGTGCTTGATTGGTCAGCGGAAACTTAGCGGAGAAGGTGGGATTCTCAGCAAAAACGGGATATTTCCTGCAATAAAATTTGTAAGATTACAAAAAGCAATTTGTAGTGCAACATTTGTTTAAAAAAACCTAAGACAACAAACAGCATTAAATATGATAAAACTAAGCGGAGTGTTTAAAAAACCAGAAAGAAAAATGTAAATAAACTGCGTAAAACAAAAAAACAATTTCAATAAAAATAAAATCGCCACGAAATGAAAATTTTTTAACAGAAATAAAAGAATAATTTCAAGCAGCAAAGGAAAGTTTATGGCACTAGCAAAAATTAACAGCTCTGTTTCAAAATATTGCACTATTTAAATTTTATCGGCATTTTTATTATTTATTCATATCAATCCAATTAAGGTAAGACAGTTTTTATATTTATTGCTCTACCTAGATAAGAGGGCTGTCAACAAGAACGGCAAATACTCCATCAAATCCGAGCCACCCATCAACGCCCGTAAGACCAGCCCTTCGACATCCGCCCATTTCTTTCGATCAGCATCTTTATAAATCGCGCACAGCGTTTTTTCCAGGACACTATTAACGTCATCACCGTACGCTTTGCGAAGCACGGCCACGCTTGGCGCCTCGAACAGCGCCGCCAGCACATCCACTTCTCGGTCTTTCAACCGCACTCCCACCATCTCCCGAATAAATTCCGCGCTTAACTCTTCGGAGCTTTCCACTAACGTCTTCACCGCATCGATGCGCATCACCGGGTTGGGGTGGTTCAGTTTGAGGAAAATCGACGTCGTATGCGGCAGTTTTCCGATAATTTCCTAACGGCACAAATATGAGTGAAACTCTGCCCCGAATTTCGAAAATCATTACATCTTAATTAGTAAATGAACAAATTAGTTAAAACAACCTTCAATTTTTTGTCACTGCTGGAAAAATTCTGCTGCAAACTTTTGATACAGATTAAATAATAGTTACAGATAAATGAACGTCTCAAGAATTTCCTCAAAAATATCGGTGAATTTATGCAAAAAATTTTTTCAACAATTATTGATAAATATGTAATTAATAAGCGCATAAACTGGTTAGAAGAATTTTCAAAATTATGATACTATACAAAGACCGTAATAAAAATATTATGTAATAGTAATTAAAACACCAAACATTTAAAAGACTCAGTAACAAATAACAACGATAAGTGGTTATCAAAAAATAAAATTACTGACTTCGCTCATTTCATTCATCAGCGTCATATCCAGCCGTTCCAGTAAATGTCCATTTTCCCGTCCGCGCTCGGCGAGCACCGCGTTCCAGCTGGACGGCATGGTCGATCGCAGAACCGCGACCAACTGGCCCACCGTCAAATCCACATCGGCCACATTGTTTTTCTTCCGTAGCAATTCCGCAACAAAATACCGCAACATTTCATTCTGCTGGCTCTCTTCAACAGAAACTTCACCCAGCAGTTTCTTCATCAAATCCACCAATGCATTACGCGGTAAATTTCCCTTGGCGAAAAGCATTTTGGTGCCGGTTCGAAAAATAACGGCCAGCAATTTGCCCAAGTTATGCTGCTTGATACAATCCCAAACAAGCTGCAAAAGAAGCATTTGATTTTATCATGGTGAAAAATTATAAAAGACGATTACGGGTTTATAAAATTTAAACGCACGTGTGGTACTGACAAAATTACAAGCCGGCAAAGTTACAAGCCATTTGGGGCTGACAAAAGCCACTGACCTACGACCTACTGTATCTAACTAAACAAACTAATTACTAATTTTAGGCTCCGGTTGCTAGCCCATAATAACTCAAAGTAATCAACCATACTATAAAATTCAGAAGTAAACCAGTCTTCTTTCTGATAAATGATAATATATTTGAAACTGTTCCTTTTAATATATAAACAGCGAAATATAATAATTTTAGCAATCGGTAAAAGGATGAAAACTTACTAAATTAAGATTAATTGACGAATTAATAAATTCAAATTAAGTATTAAAAAACGATAAAATTTCAAACATTCGCAGTACGCTACCTCAACGAATTTTCCATTATTCAACAAATAGTCCATCATCTCTTTCGGGACCGTCCCCAGCTCCGACGTGCACGCGGCTAACGCGTCCACTCCCACCGCATCGGAAAATTTCCCCGCTGCAATCATCAGCGCGGCAATAATTTTCCCCACCACTGCTTTTTCCAGCGGAAGCTGGCGCACCATCACGGCCAGGCATGCATACGCAGCGGCCCGGTAATCCGCCGCGGTGGACTGCAGACATTGGCTTAAATTGGGTACAATCAGCGCGATGATTTCGTTGTCGACGGAGGTATTGCTGAAAATCCCCAAACAAATCTGGATGACAAATTTCAGGAAGACGTCGTTCTGCACGGAAACCAGCCAGTGATTCTGCGAACGCTTGGCTAGTTCGGTGAGGAGGAGTTCCAGCAGCCAGGGCTGTTTGGTGAGATATTTTAGGAGGTCGGGTGTTTGAAGGGGGACACCTTTACGCTGGATGCCTTCCAGCCACAACCACTTTTTGTGATACTGCGAAAACCAAAAAATAAATTCAATACGTCGAATAAAATTATTAAAAATTAAAATAAAAACGAATGCTAAAATCCTAAAACATCCTAAAGTATCAAAACCTATATTCTCATAATTATTACAACTGATACATCGACACATTGTTAATTAAACAAATAAAAGAAATCACAATAAAAACTATAACTATAAAAATGTTTAAATTAACATAACACAGATTTATATGTAAATTGGTAAGGATTTTGCAAACTCAAAACAATCATAAGGGTTCAAAGGGGAATGATTTTCATCAAAGTCAAAGAAAATTCTTCCGGACGCTGAGAGAAAGAGAAATTTTGCATCACAAAAACCTGAACCAAAGAAAAGTTTTCTTCTGTATTTAATTTTCGTAGTTCATTTCTATTTACAGCATTTAAACGCAATCTCTAACGGAGATTTTTTTATTAAGAAAGTTTTAAATTTAATAACAAAAACATTATGTGAATAGGTGTAGGAAAAAGAACAACCATTGTAAATATACTTCAAATAAATCGAAAATCTAATCCGAAAAACCAAATATAAATTTATTCAGAATTTTTAAATAATAAAAAATTTCAAAGAAAACCGTCGCTTACAGAAAACTCCAGAACCTGAACCATCCGCACGAAGATATTCGTATCGTGAAACGGCAACACCATCATCATAACGGCCTCCACATTATACTGATGAATATGGAACCGCACAATCAGCCATTCCAGAGCCTTGTGCGCCGGCCGATGGAGAAAATACGGCGCCAGCATCCGCAAGAACTCGCCGATATTCTCATCCAATTTGGCATTCAGCTCCTTATTCTGCACCGAGCGCTCCATCTCCATACTGACGGGACTAAACAGTATGTCTTCGTAGCGGGCAAAGTCCTCGTTGAGCAGCTGCAGATCGTGGAGACCCTCCAGGGAGATTTGCAGGATTTCTTTGTGGTCGTACTTGGCCGCTTCGGAGGGGTCGAAGAGAAGGGAGGCACGCTTTTTCACTCCGCGGGCGAACGCCGATGTCTGCGGGACGGCGAGCGCTTTCAGCTGGCTGGCTAAAGAGGTAGCCATTTCGAAGGATGATGAATTCCGCGCCGAGAAAACACAGGGAGCTCTCGTGCAGAGAGAGTAAAGACTATAGAGCAGAGTAAATCAGCCGGATCACGGCTAAAGTCGCGTGTAACTCATTAAACTGCAAAATTTAATCCATAATTCCATACTTTGCTAATACAAGTGATGGATTAATCAAGCTTTTAGATAACGAAAATACGACAAAAACTGAAAAGACGGTAAAATTTATACGAGGAGGGAACCGACTGTACCGAGTACAATACGTGTAAAACGGAAATTGAAATGCAAAACTCAAAAGTGCATGCAAAACGGCAAGCATATAAAAAGCAAGCGGTGGCGTAGGGTGCCGTAGTCTGTCTTGTCGCTTTTCCCCGTTACCCGCCAGCTGATCGACACTGTCAGCTACGTATGCACCGTATAGTACGTACACAGTACACTCGTACAGCTGTGAGACCTATAAACCAGGTATTAAAGCACTGTGATAAAATTTTGTGAGCGCTTGAAAAGCCTTGAATCTGCTATAAGTACGCTGCTTCGACGTTGTTTTCAAGCAGTATTAAATTTTACTTTGTAAATTCCCTCAGTTAGTTTTCTGTTGGAACGTATAGTCAGGATTGCAGTCATATTTTGAATTTTTGATCCACACGGATTCCACAAATGGTAAGTTGTTGTGGTTTTTATGAGGCAGGGTGCTGTTGCACATTGCACATGCAAGTCTAGCATCTATTGTACAATCATCGGCTTACCGCAGGACGCAGGCTAATTAGCACCACTGTTTCTGCAAATTTTTTGAGTGTATTCTAAGCTTTCTTCAAAATCGTAGTTTTGCTTACAGGCTATGCAAGGCACTCTACTAGAATTTATCCTGGGATGGCTGATGATCCCATGGCGAATTTTTGTGGAAATCTACAGGCATGCTTTTCCTCCCGCTAACGAAGCTGGAGAGCATGAGCACGAAGGAATGCTGGATGCGTCAAGCGGGGACATCACCATTGACAAGCGCGAATTGTCGCACTGGACGAAATTATCCCAGCAGTGGTGGGACCCGGAAGGCGACTTTGCTTTGCTGCATGGATTTAACCATTGCCGGATCCCGATGATTCTGGATGCCTACAGCAAGTATATTGCCCAGAAGCCGTTGCCGGATACCAATCCCCTGCGTGGCGCGAAGATCATCGATGTGGGATGCGGCGCTGGATTCGTTTCCGAGCCGCTGCGGGAGTACGGCGCGGATATTACCGGAGTCGATATGGTTCCGGCCGTCATTGAGGTGCAGACGTTAAAACGATTTATACAGTACATTTTAACATTTGCGATAACATTGTTAAAAATATTATCAGCACTTTTAAAATAAAAAAATAGTAATAAAAATTTATTATATTATTAAAAATTATATTAATTTTCTACAGTTTAAAAAAAATCATTTTAAATAGAATTTAAATGGATTGATTTTGAAGTTTTTAAGCTTTACTTGTGGTTAGTCACGTTAGTGTGAACTTAATTCAGTTTTTAGTTTTTAAAATTCCAAATTAATTTTTTTTGAAATTTGCAGATTGGGTGTTTTCTGATAAGTAATTTAAGCAACATGGCAGGGTAACTAGCTAAATTATTCCTATACTCGTATGCTTAACAGTTTAATTTAAAAGTGAGTCTGGTCCAGCAACTTTTCTTTGCCGTTTTCTCCTTCCGGTTACCAGAACACAGGGCCGTCGTTAGACCCCTATCCAATTTTCAAAACGCTACTCCTCCTACAGTTTCCATCCGATAATTTTTCTGAATACACCATTGAACTCAGCGTAAAATTCTGAACAAGATGATTGAGGCCGATTTTTGAAATTCGAATTTCCCCTGGATCGACTACAGGCGGTTGCCTGTGACAGACATGTTTTTGGGGCTTTCCCCTGGCCCCCTAAACATATTTTGACACTAAAAAACACGTTTTTAGCTTGTTTTAACTCGTTTTTCATGAACTTTAACTAATATTGAGTGATTTAAATTTTTTCATGATTCTACATCGTAAATATCATCATCATTCGCTGGAAGGAAAGTGTTAAAAGGCCAGTCGTTATCCGATTCTTGCTCCAATCGATCGTTTTCCGGCACATCGTTAAAAGATTTACAATACCGTAATACTGTGCAATTTCCAGTCCGTTTTAATGTGATCGTAAACATTTATTTTGGGCAAATACCCCTTCCTTCTCCGAGCAGATCGACATGTCGTTAAAAGACCGCGAAAGATCATCACGAATAAAGTCGGTAAAACAGAATTTGTCTTCGGTCGACGTTCTTAACTTTTTAAAGTTGTAACGTCTTTCATGTTTTTTTTTGCGTCGAGGTGCGCATACTGAGCTGACGCTTGCTAGAAAAAACAAAATATTTCAACACCTTCATTTCTTTACCTAACATTGGCGCTTTGTAAAATATTATTCTACAAAGAGAAACGGCTACACGAGCTGGTGATCAAGCAAAAAAGACGGCACAAAAAACAAGTAGAGCTTCGTTTTGGTAGCCCGGAGCGATTGCATACTTGGTGAAACTGGTTAGAAAGTTGGCCCTGTTTGGCACAGCAAAAAAATAAAATCGCTCAAAACCATTTAAATTTGATGAAAAACGAGTAAAAACAAGCTAAAGACGTGTTTTTTAGTGCCAAAATATGTTTAGGGGGCCAGGGGGGAAAGCCCCAAAAACATGTCTGTCGCACAGGGCAACCGCCCGTGGTAGTCGATCCAGGGGAAATTCGAATTTCAAAAATCGGCCTCAATCATCTTGTTCAGAATTTTACGCTGAGTTCAATGGTGTATTCAGAAAAATTATCGGATGGAAACCGTAGGAGGAGTAGTGTTTTGAAAATTGGATAGGGGTCTAACGACGGCCCTGCATGTTAATAACGGCCGAAGTTCGAAAACAGGCGCAGCCTCAGTGAACGGTGATTTCATTTCCATACTCACCACTTCAGTATCGGGCATCGGTGTCTCCTGGTGGGACAGGTAGACGAGGTTCAGCCACCCAGTCCGTCCTGGACGCAACCCGACGCTGATGGTACTGGTGGCGGTATGCCAGGCCGTGCGGAACGCCGCCCCGGCCTGGATCAGAAGGATCTGTTGGGTGGCGGCCATCACATGCTTATCCATGACAGGCACGGCGTGTCGCCAGTAGCGCAACCGCTCGGGCGAGAAAGCCACCCACCCGTCCCCCTCCCCCGCCGGGGGGACGTAGTGCAGGCGCTCCGGTCGCACCACCGTGCGCAGCGTCTCCCCGTCCGGGAGGTGGAGGGCCACACAAGCATACTTGTACTGGACACTGCCGTCCTCCCCCGCCAGGAAGGTTGAGGGGTACCAGCACCACGGCTGCCCGGGGACATGCTTCAGCGAACGGAGCACCCCCCGACAAAACGTTGTGTAATCAGGGGCGGTGCAGTAGAGGGTCAGGACGGGGTCCGGATCACGGGGGGGCGCGGGGGCCCCGCCATTCCAGACACTGGTTAATGGGCACGCTGACTTTGTCCTGACCCGTCACGCCAAGGTCGACGAGGAAGTCGCCGGTGGGGGACAGATCGCGGATGATGCCGTGGCGTACTAAGCCGAAGGTGTCGTCACGCACACCGACCACGCCACACCGATACCAGTTCAGTATGAAATCCCACCTTTTCACGGTTATCGCTATGTTTGCGACAGGCGCAGGTGGTTCGGTGGCCGCTGGAACCGATGAACCCGACGGATCGTTCATTATTAGTTTCTCTAACAGCAGACGGACCAGGAAAAAATATTGTTACTTTTTATAAGAGCAGGATGCCAAGAAAAAAATTTTGTAGTCCAAAATAGGTTTAGAACTTTAGATAGCGCTCACAACGGGCTCAGTTCCCGAAGCCACCTCGGGAAAGATGGGAAAGTGGTGCTTTGACCAGTGTCCACGCGGATATGCGCTATCCAGAGATAAGATTAAGACCAGCATAAAAATAGGGCTCAAATGCTGTTAATATGTACTAATTTGAGTGGCATGGAGTTACAGCAGTTACTCCACCATCTCTCCAAACATTTGGTTCGGTGTAAGGAACGAAGATCCACGGAAAATGGAATTCCACGGTGGAATTCCGTTTTCCAAATCCGCGATCCAGGCGACCTGCTTGGATTTGGAAAACGGAATTTAGGAAATCCGTGGAATTCCACTTTTCGAATGGAAATCCAAATTTCTGTATTTGGATTTCCAAACGTACGAAAACTTACGAAATTATCGAAACCAAGCCGTCAGTTTCTCACTTTTTTCACATTTTTGCCAAAACCAATGTCAGTTTCAGCAGTTTTCAATTTTTTTGGCGGCATGGAAACAAAACGTGATGCATTGTTTATATTGTTACGACAAAAAATTCCAGCGCACTAGCATTTAATGAGTGCAAAAATGCAAATACCTCACTGTCGCCCACCCGGTACTAATGATTAGGCATTTAGCGCACTAATAATAATTTGGAAAACATTAATGCTACTGTATATGATTCTATCTATCACTTACATACAAGATCTCGAAGCCGATCAGTTGAATGAGAGCTTTTTGTTATAACAGTGTTGTTTTGCTCATCGTAATTAACTTATTCTTATGTTAAAATACGAAAGTGCGAATACAATAAGGGGGAAATTTGCATCCTAATATGGGATCTAAGACATAAACAAACCACTTTCATTTTTAAAAATTAACATTAGACTTTTATGTTTTATTTTAGTAAGGTTTTTTCACTTTTCAACTGTTTTATTATTTCAATAATTAGTATTTTAGTAAAGTAAATTAACAAGTCAGCTACGTAAATTTGTATTTAGTAATAAGTCGTTAATTAGCTTCAATGTTTCAACAACTACAACCGGTTTTGTGGTCTTGCAAAAAACAGGTTACTTTCATGCTTGAAAGTTGAAACTATGAATCTGCAGCGAACAACTGGATGGCATTAACTGAAATGGTGTTTAATTGGTAGCCGGGCTACGCTGGATAGCTATCTATGTGGAAACAAAGCTAAAAAATGGTTTTCCAACGAAAACTGTAAAATCCTTGGATTTACGGAAATCCATTTGGATTTCCGTAAATCCACGGAATCCATGGAAATCCATGGCAATTTCCTTTCCAAATCCTTTCCACGGGCCCGAACCCGTGGAAATTCGTTCCTTAGTTCGGTGATAAGTAACTTTTTCAGATTTTTTGAAACAGCTGGCTCAAGCTGTTAGCCCCTTACATTCTCAAATTGCCAACCGTTGATGGTTGCCTTGCCGAAATGACGGCTAATTGGCAGCCGCCCTATTGGTCGCTCTCTCGTGCGTGCGCGTCTGACGCAATTTAAATAAAATACTTACAGACAGGGCCGTCGTTAGACCCCTATCCAATTTTCAAAACACTACTCCTCCTACGGTTTCCATCCGATAATTTTTCTGAATACACCATTGAACTCAGCGTAAAATTCTGAACAAGATGATTGAGGCCGATTTTTGAAATTCGAATTTCCCCTGGATCGACTACCACGGGCGGTTGCCCTGTGCGACAGACATGTTTTTGGGGCTTTCCCCCCTGGCCCCCCTAAACATATTTTGGCACTAAAAAACACGTCTTTAGCTTGTTTTTACTCGTTTTTCATCAAATTTAAATGGTTTTGAGCGATTTTATTTTTGCTGTGCCAAACAGGGCCAACTTTCTAACCAGTTTCACCAAGTATGCAATCGCTCCGGGCTACCAAAACGAAGCTCTACTTGTTTTTTGTGCCGTCTTTTTGCTTGATCACCAGCTCGTGTAGCCGTTTCTCTTTGTAGAATAATATTTTACAAAGCGCCAATGTTAGGTAAAGAAATGAAGGTGTTGAAATATTTTGTTTTTCTAGCAAGCGTCAGCTCAGTATGCGCACCTCGACATAAAAAAAAACATGAAAGACGTTACAACTTTAAAAAGTTAAGAACGTCGACCGAAGACAAATTCTGTTTTACCGACTTTATTCGTGATGATCTTTCGCGGTCTTTTAACGACATGTCGATCTGCTCGGAGAAGGAAGGGGGTATTTTACCAAAAATAAATGTTTACGATCACATTAAAACGGACTGGAAATTGCACAGTATTACGGTATTGTAAATCTTTTAACGATGTGCCGGAAAACGATCGATTGGAGCAAGAATCGGATAACGACTGGCCTTTTAACACTTTCCTTCCAGCGAATGATGATGATATTTACGATGTAGAATCATGAAAAAATTTAAATCACTCAATATTAGTTAAAGTTCATGAAAACGAGTTAAAACAAGCTAAAAAACGTGTTTTTTAGTGTCAAAATATGTTTAGGGGGGCCAGGGGGGAAAAGCCCCAAAAACATGTCTGTCGCACAGGGCAACCGCCCGTTGTAGTCGATCCAGGGAAATTCGAATTTCAAAATCGGCCTCAATCATCTTGTTCAGAATTTTACGCTGAGTTCAATGGTGTATTCAGAAAAATTATCGGATGGAAACTGTAGGAGGAGTAGCGTTTTGGTGAACAAGGGTCTAACGGCCCTGCCAGAACATAAACTTTTCTTATCATAAGTCATACCAGCCATATTACCGGGTGTCGGTATTTGTGACTTAATGAGCCTGAGGTGCATTAATTTTCGAATTGCGTCCCTAGACTGTGCTGGCGATGAATTTTTCATGGCTTAAATCGTTTAAGTTGGCGTATTGTGTACCAACATTACTTGGTAATATGTAAAATTAGTGGGGCCTGTGTCGGCGAACGACAAAACTAAACCCTAATTAAATCTGTAGTTAGCCAAAGCGCATTGGAACGAAAGGCATCCGACGGAAATCGGTCCAGACTACCTCTGCACGTCGGTGGAGGAAATTTCATCGCAGCGCCCGGAGGAATTCGACATGGTGTTGTGCTTAGAAGTACTCGATCATGTGGCCAACTGGAAAGAATTTGCGGCGCAGTCCTGCCGACTACTGCGGCCTGGAGGCTGTGCTATCTTCTCCACGATCAACCGGACTTTGGCGGCACTGATCATCGCGATTATTGGCGGCGAACACCTGTTGCGCATCGTGCCGATGGATACGCATCATCTGCGCAAATTCATTAAGCCCAGTGAGGTTGAGTATGAACTGAACAAACACGGTTTGGTGCAGGTTAACCTCACCGGATGTACGCCGGTGGATCCGTGGGCCCGCCGACCTCGCTGGTCAGACGTTTCTTACTGTGGTGTGACGTATGCTATCACTGCTGTTAAACGCGCTTGACTTTGCTATATGAATTTTGTTCATTTCCGGAACTCGTTTGCTCTTACAGTATGTGGGATAGGCATTTGCAACAAGAAATAAACAAAACAGGAAGATGCTAATTATGCTATGTATTCGCATTCTGCATTTACTTTTCGTTCTGTCGTCCTGTATCCAGTAAATTTTTGCTGATGACGAATATATATGCAGGTACGAACAGTCGTTAATAAAAATAACAATAACAAAATTACATATTTGCATTAATTAACCACCTATTTCGGCTTTTTTGGTTTGTCGAACTTGTTATATTATAGTATGTACTGGAAGTGTAGTAAGTACTTACTACTAACCACTGTAATTTACGGTATACAGCGCCTATAATGTGTATAATGGGTAATGCTGGCCAGTGGCCATAGTGATTTGACTCATGACTGTTATGTCGCGACGTAAAAGTAATAAAGAACACAATAAAAATGTGTATTGCATCACAGCTTATAAAAAAAGGGCCAGTTCCATTATTGTACCCGTCCAAAGCGTCCATCGACAAATTCTAAATAGAAAATTGCTCATAAACTATTAAAAGTACTTCTTTCTCCAAGGAGCACACAAAGAAACGGCACACCGACAACTCGCTGACGGTCATCTTGTTAACTGACAACTTGCTTACGACTATTTGCTGACCGACAAAATTTTGACCCGACAGTTTGTTGAAACAACAAAACGCTGAACGACATTTTGCTGAACGACAGTTCGCTGACACCGACGATTTGCTGACGACATTTTGCCGGCTGACAGAATGTTTACCCGACAACTAGCTTACTTACAAAATTGTTGACCGACATTCTACTGACCGACGTTTTATGGAAATACCGACAACTCGCTGATCACAAATTTAGTCTGTTACCCCTTAAGTACCTGTAAAACTCAATTTGCGTGATTATGATCGGGTACCACAACCACTTCGCCTGCTATTAACAGCAGCCGGCTTATGCAGCAATCTGACAATTCCAGTCGTCCAATTCTCCTTTGTTCTGCTCGAGCGCAAACGAGTGCATTTCATTAAAAACCTATGAAACAGAAAAAAACCATGAAACCTAAGAAACCTGAAAACCTAAGAAACCTAAGAAATCCGAAAAACCTAAGAAACCTAAGAAATCTAAGCAATCTAAGCAATCTAAGAAACCTAAGGAAACCTGGAAAACCTAAGAAACCTTTGAAACCTAAGAACCTAAGAAACCGGTGTAATTATTGAAACATTTTTAACAGTTATTAATAAATAATTATTACTGACTGAGACAATATTAATACTCGCGAATTTAATACGGCGTAAAAAATGGCAAAAAATTACTTATACTTCAGTTATAACTGTCGTAGTATTGCTTCCTTTTTATGAAACCAACGAAGATTCTGGTTTTCGCGTAAATATCGCTAATGTGCGTTGAACTGGTCAGCAAACTGTCGGTCAGCAAGTTTTCGTCTTCTACAAGTTGTCGGTCAGCGAGTTGTCGATTACCGACATTTCGCTGACCGACAAGTAAGCTGTCGTTCAGCAAATTTGTTTCAGCAAGATGTCGGTCAGCCAGTTTGTAAGAAAACGAACTGTCGGTCAGCGATTTGTCGGTCAGCAAGTTGTGGTAGTCAGCAACAAGTCGGTCATCAAATTGTCGGTCAGCGAAATGAAGGTCATAGAGTTGTCGTGCTACCCAAAGAAACGTATTTTATGATCTTTTAGGCAATAACCGATACTGTAATACTGTACGGTACTTATTAACATTTATCTAAGTACTGCAAGTCTTCAACTCAAACTTAGGGCTTAATTCAAAAAGAGGACATTGCCGCCAGGGAAAAGAACCAGTGTGAATACTTGTACTTATTCTTGCATTTTTGAGGCATGTTCCACGATGATCGGAAGCAGACCAGCATCCGCCTGCATAACCTCTTGAAACGCTTCGGTATGCAGGACATGCTCCATATTTCCCGGCAGCACATCAAACACGGCTCTCTTCAGCACATCCAATCCGCGCTGTCTGGCTAGGACGAGATAATGTGCAGCCTTCTCAGAGGAATATTACTAGCCAAGATTTGCTCGCACACGGCACGCAGATCCAGCATTTCGTACTTATCAGCCATAATCAGCACTCTCTCCGCATTGCGCTGGTTGATCTGACCGAACTTGCATCCGTACACATAGTCCAGCAGGATCCCCACACTTTCCCCATCCACATCCTTCAAATCGCAGCGCGCTATCTGGTTTTCCTTGCAGTTGTGCTTGAACATGGCCGAGAATACCGGTGACTGTGCCGCGAGGAAACTGCGACTAACGGAGAACTGCTTCCCGTCTCCCGAGTGCAGGACAAAGTCCGTTGACTGCGCTGGCTGTCCCGACGAAAGCAGTAGATTTTGCCGGGTAGCGAAGTTCAGCAATAATTTCCCATTGGATTCAAACGGCTTAGCGATGATACCATCGGAAAGGCGTGCGAGTTTCGGCGGCTGGTACACAACCACATCCAGGACGACAGTCACGGAGTCGTCTTTCAGTATCGCTCCATCGAACAGCTCTGCGTACGGGAAGAACTTGGAGAATCCATAACCGCCCCGGATAGCGTTGGAAAAGGTGTAGGATGCGGATGAGGCTTTGAGGAGCACATCCATTTCCTTTCCCGTATACACGCTGTGCAAACAATAAACACAGGAAACATTATTACGGCGACGTTTCGCGTACTGTATTCTGGACATTTTCACAAAACATGGATTCGCCGATTCGCGCACCGGACGGCCGACACCAGAAAGCGCGACATCGTCTGCCGTCCGGTGCGCGATAGAATTTTATTTTTATTAATCCGTGTACAAGCAGTAACAAGCTCCATAGAACAACAGCAAGTACTTAACCCGCAATCAATATTTTTTAACGTATGCAGCAACGCAGAGAACACCGTGACCCAGCGAATCCATATTACCGTATTATGAAAACATCCGGAATGCGAAAAAAGTCGAAGTATACTTGTATCATTGTATAGACACCCAAGCAAACAGCAAACGCAACAGCGGTGTCAATTAAATTTACACATGAAATCAATTTATTTTTAGAATATCAAGCAAGACCGAAAAAATATCAGAATAATCCAAGTTACACTGTACAGTTAGCCAACATGTGAATACCTTTATGTCTCATTTCTGTCTCATTTCTCATTTCTGAGTTTAATGTAAAGCTAAACTTGTATTACATCTTCCGTACGGATATCTAATTAGCAAAACTATTTGTAATACCCAGAGCTCTAATATCAAATTTTAATATCAGCCAATCAGTCATCACTTTGATCACAGAAAGTATAATTTTAATGCGCCTTAGTAAGTACTTCCAAAATACTGAAGTACGAGTATTCAGATGACAGACAACAAGTTACAGCTTGCAAGTTATCCTTCCCTGAATCACTAGTCTGCAGTTATATGCTACTGTACCTGATTTTGAACTGGGCATCTACCGAATGGCCCCCGGTATAGGTTTTGGCCTCCTTATCAGTGTCGGTGAAACTCAGATAAACGGAAACGTATTTTGACTCCAAATCCGCCACAGTTTCTTTGAAACAGGTCTCCACGCGCACTCGCCAGCGTCCTTGATAGTCACTGTCGGTTCCCAGTTCCGACGACGTTATGCCCTCGCTGAGGAAGGTTTCTTTTCGATTTTTGAAGGACTTGAAACAGTCAATTGTCAGCTTCAAAGTGAACGGCACACTATCCCGCGAAACTCGTTCGTGAACCGTACTGTTCCGTGTTTGCTCCATGTCTTCACTTGCAAGTTGCAACACAGACCTTACACAGTTAGTTTAAATTCCCTCAGGATAAACTGAAGATTCGGTTAACGAAACAACACAGCTTTACTATCTCGCCAAAACTGTTCAGCAAAAATGTCTGACAGCCATAATTAGGCAGACTGGCAGAGACAAAAAAACCGAGAAGACAAAATTTCAGAAATGAGAAATCACTCTCGGCTAAGCTTTTGAGTTTTGTTAGGATGGCTTTCATCGTGATCCAGCCGTCCAGCGTGGTGGCCAACCGACGGCGGTTGGTCTGAAGACAAGGCTCACGCCTAGTTGACTGGTATCTTACAACAAATTTACTTTTGCTGCTTTTTTTACGGATTTCAGATGCATCAGACACTTACTCTTCATGTTCAAGCAGTCGAGTACTCTTACTTTTATCAGTTTCACAAAAATTATTATAAGCACCAGGATGTCCGGAGACATGGAAAGGCCGCAGACGCAGACAATCAGAGACTAGCAATGACTTATAGTTCCTCTCACGCAGCACGTGTACGCCCAAAAACAATGCAACCTGACTTACCGGTAAAACAAAATCACTTATAACATAAAACGAGGCCCCACAAAAATGAAACAGGTTATGGTATTAGTATACCGTCTTACACACAACGGCCATTCAAGTACTATTTATACAAACTTGTACCTTATCAAAACTCACTACATACACAGTATAGTCATGAGATCATATTCATGACTATGAAGCCTCATGGACCGTTCACTATCACTGCTGCATAAGAGAATGTGTGCCAACAATGTCGATGGAGGACGTGTCACGTTGCTTAAAAGGATGTTTAATTAAGAAAAAACCAGTTCAAAACTTCAGTGCACGTTGTCGTTAGTACCGGTCACGTATAATAAAAAGAAAGCTAAAGCCAACAGACCGGTTCCACTCAAATCGCCCAGTGCCGTCAGATATGGAATGGTTTGATTATCAGGATCTACAACATGCATCGCTTGATGAATCTCTAATGAAGCATTCCTTAATTTGTGTAACAAGTACTTATTTGAATTTGTGAAATATTTTAAATTGCGTCAATTCAAAATGTTTCATTTATGCAAATACTTGTTACACAAATTTAATGGCGATTACGGGAAAATTTTATGCAAAACGTAGGCTACGCGGAACAGCTAGCAAGATATTACAAACCTCTGCACAGCACGAAACAAAAAATAATTTTGTTACCTAGTCCTTTTTTCCAGGCGAAATGCGTGACCACATCTGATAGGTAAAGAAGCATGGACACTTGAATTAAGGCCATAGCAATGAACACCACGGCAAAGCGCAAAGTCATCGCGTCGTCTTTGGCAAAGGTTATCACGAATAAGAAGACCAAGTGTCCCGGTATGACCATCATCAGCAAGAGGCGAGCCGTCCGGGAGTTGACGTTTGAATGCGAACAGAAAGAGTGACAAGGACTGTGACAGAATCTGTAATCCTGAGGTACGCGCCCGGGGATCTTGTAGGCCAAATGGAGATATGTGGCAATCCGACTGGATTGCACTGATACAATGTTTCCTCCCACACCTGAAAAGCGTATAGTTTGCATGGCACAAATTATTACCCACCGTTACGGGTGCCTAAGTATTTCCGTTATGTTCCATAAATTTGTTTTCTTTTATCAACATGGGTAGTTCAAATGGCCAAAGCAAAAGGACTGCTTATCTTCGAGCTAGAGGTCACTAATATCTGTATGTCCGTTGCAAGTACCGTTTATAAGAGGTTGAAACACCGCCAGTCCGGTAAAATATCGACCGGTGCTGAGCACTTTCTCCAGAATAATTCCCGAGCAGCTACTGATGATCATGGCTACAATAACAGGTATCCAACCATGGATCAGTACGTGGCGGGTTGTGGGCTCCTTCCGTGCCAGCCAGACCCATAATGGCACCAAGCACGTTAAACAGCTGATAGCCACTACGGGGCCGATTAACCAGTACGATGTTTCTAGAGACATCATTTAGCTGTGCTTACGGAACTCATTGTCGATATTGCACATCTGCAATATCGCCATTCAGTTCCGTAAGCACAGCTAAACGGTTTCACTGGCACTGAATGTTTCTTATTACCAAAGGCGCTGTAAAAGAGATAGCTAAATCCAGATAAGATGCCCAACGTCAACACATCTCCAATTGTTCCCGCAACCGGCGTGGCAATATTGTCCGGATTGAGATGGTAGCGTTTGGCAAAGAGAATAGTCCCAATCATCACAGTATCTGGAGTGAAGAGAAAAGTCATGCAATTTTATAATTTAGAAGCATAAAATAACCGTACTATATACTTGCTTACAAGGCCACGAAAACCAAAGGTTCTGCGTGTAGGACCAACCTTGAATGACACTTGTTGAACACGCCGACAACATAGCCGTGCCGAGCACCAAGAGTACGTTTCGTGTTTGCACTTCGCCTTTATGGTTAATGGCGTACATGGTTACCGCTAAAATAGACGCCAGAAAGCCCACCGCAGTGGATAATACTTGGTTGAGTGCCACATTACACCCGATAATTTTCCATTTCCGCTTCCGATCCTCAAAGCCTCCTGTGTTCATCTGCGTGGAAAGACGCGAGGCTAGCGTCATCTCCAGATTGCCCTTTAAGCCTAACAGCGCCGGCACCATAATTAAAATCTCGCTGATTTCGATAAAAACAGTCCAGTGTTCTGCCCAGTCCAATAAAACACCAGCACCCACCATACCCAATCCGGCTAACAGAAAGGGCACGAAGATCTGTAGAATTAATCCCTTGAGTTTCTCCTTGCCCAGTGGTACTTCGATGACCAGTGTGTCGAAGATGGGAATGTCGTTAGGCATTTGGACAGCGGTAGCGACATCTTCGATAATCTCCACGGGGGGCAGTTCCGTGTCCACATGTTTGGGTATTGCTTTCCCATTATCCATGCCGAAACCATGATTAATACAACTACGGTTTTCGGGGTCGATGTTAATTATGGAGAGAGGATCGCCAGACATCTACGTACTGAACAGTGGCTCAGTTTACCTCACACCCTGGTACATTCTGCTGAGGAAAGGATTACGCGAAACTTTCGGAATTTATATAAAACGCTTTACTTTCATCCATCCAGGAAATCGAGAAAGCCGAATAATAATGGACGTCACGTGTTAAAACACTGAATTTTGTCACTTGTGTATTTATGCTCAAAGGCAAACGTAAATATCGATATGCGGCGTTTCCGGTAGGCACAAACACAGTCGTTCTAAATTTGGAATTGTCTTCGATGAATACTGCGGTGGTGAAGTTTATGAGCCGTTCATTAAGTAATCCTTATCTTGTTCCCACACTGGGCCACACATATCGTTCATACGTATCCTCCAAGTTTTACAGCAGCCACGCGATTTACGATGCTTAAACTAAGTATCGCGGCCGCACTGAGGTGATAAGTTGAAATTACCTGTTGGAAGTTGTTTACTGCAATACTGTCGGAAGTAATAAAGCAAAATCATTACACCATTATTGTGGTTCCAAAGATGAAGTACGGGACTCGTGGTGATCTCGGTGAAAACTATGAGTGCAAATTGCTTAATATGATATGCGCGTTCGCGTTATTTTACAGTCGACAGCGTGGACGTCCATGCAATTTATGACGTGGGTCGACCGTCGACGGTTTGCTAAACCTTCACCTGGAAAGCGGTAAATGGTGACCAGCTTGGTTTATTCTCCCTTTTCCAGCAATAAAATCACCAACGTAACGCTACAATATTTTGCATACTGGATGCCTTTCCATGTTTACAAAATACAATATTACGTTACGTTTATTAGGCACCCTAGTGTCTGCATAAACGCATTGAAATACATTTTTAGAACTGGCGAACGGTATCCGTACTTTTCGATAGTACATGTACATGAATTGGGGAGATCGTAACGGCCAGCGTCCGTCACTGCGGTATCGTCGTAGTTCACACTGTACTAAAAGTTTTACTGGTTTTGTGATGGTTTGCAGGCTACCCGGTGCCTTGTGTCATTAGGGCCAATAGCTTTAATGGATAAGAGGAAAGGCAAACTTCTGCATTCGAACCAGTTTATAAAGCCAAGACTAACTGAAAGGTCTTGGCAGGGAAGAATATAATAGGAGGGTTGTTTCCTATTACACTCTTTCTTGGTTGTCATGACCTTTCTGTTGGTCTTGGTTTTATGAACTTATCCAAGAGCAACTGCAATTTTTAATTTTCGAACGGCTTCCTTTACAATATAAAGTAATTTTTGGATCATAACAAAAATTAAAGATCTCAGGGAAGATAAAACAACAATGGAAGTTATGTTAGGTTGATGTCGTAAAGTCGCTTCGTTCTCCATTTTTGCATGCAGCCGGAATTGGTAACCGCACTGGGGATCGATTTTATGGTGGATATCAGCAGTTCAAATTATAGCAGGATGTATTATAAGCAATCTGGTCGCCGGCCTGTGTGTTTCTCCAGTTGAACTCGTGAGCGCAGTCCACACTGAGCACCGGGTTCCAGTCCATTGCCGTTGCTTCTCTAGCACTCAAGGTACTGACATTACGGAAAGTTCCCGGTGGCAGAACATCACTACTGGGCAGTTTAAACGTCCCCATCGTAACCACTTGGCCTTCTCGCTTGGCTTCAATCAGATAAGGTTTCTTTTTGAGAAAATTGCGAAACCAAGCAAATGAGCACTCACAGTGCAGACGGCGCACATTTTCGACAGCGGCGTCCGGCAACAGTCGGGTGTCATAAAAACCAGCATAATGCACGCGTGCCACCAAACTGTTGCCAATTTTGTCCTCCAGAATGATTGACTGCAGATCTGGGAGATCGGTAAACGTATAGGGCTCCAGTTCGCCGATGGTCGCCGACATCAAGTGTATCTGACGTAATCGAGGCATCCTCGAAAAATGCACTTTCTTGATGACCAAGTTGGTACAACGCAAACCCAGGAAGTACAGAAGTGCCTGCGGTAGATCGCCCAGCTTGTATGTCTTTTCTGTGGTGTGTACGGTGGCGCACCTCATTACTGCCACTTGTATCACCTGGTTGCGGATGGGGTCGACGACATCGAAATTAATGGGATCAAATTGTTCCCTGTCTTCATGGTCTGCGTAAAACGCAATGCTGATGGCGCGCCGCGGGCTGATTCGGCGGAATGTCTCCGCTCGTGTTTTCATACGATCCCGTGTTTCCGACGCGCAGCTGAATTCCACGTAAGTCCAAGTTGCCACTGATGCATATGAATGGCCCCGGAATTCTGCTTCGGATGCATTGAGACAGTTGGGAAAATCAGGTGTCCCCCACTCTTGGTTACAGTCTGTTTCCTTCATGAAGCGCACACAGAATTCTTCCCGTGTCAATGTGTCGGTGCGGAAGGGGAAGTCGGAAGGAGAAAACTTTGGGGGCGGAGGCGGAGGCACGGCGCATTCAGTCTCCAGGTCATCGGTGAAACCTGTCGACAAAATTGTTGACAATATGCGCATGTGAGCTTCGTAAAGTACAGTGCTGCTTACCGGTAACCGAAACTGCCGAAAACAGCAGCAGCAACAGCGGTAAACTCACCCCGGATGAACTGGTGTGCATTATTGTATTATTTTGCAAGAATTCGTGACGGTATCAGTATTCGTGGCCGTGCTGAAAATAAAAGTCCAAGGGAAACTATTTCAGTGCATTACGATGGCGAGAATTATTGAAGTTTTCCGAAAATTTGGCTACAAATTTCGGTTTACAGTTGTCATGGTAGGTGCAGCAGAGAAGGCAATAGCGCAAATGTTTTCGAGAAGACCAGTCTAAACTGCCAAGCACTTTCTATTAAATGAGTTCGTTTTTTTATCAGATCTGATGATGTTTCTGCTGAAATACCGGTATTCAAATACGTACCGTGCGATCCACTTAGAAATAAATTACATGGGCACATTAGAAGCGCGAGCGTACGCTTTGCTGACTAACTTATAACGGAAATAACGGAAATTTTACAGACAGCTGTACCTCTTTTCAATGCCCTCGGCTCGAAAATCAGTATTGGTATGCTGATAAAACGTTCGCAACTGTAGCCTGCAGCTTTACTTAAAGAATAATTGTGGACAATCGGGATTTGTGAACATTTTTACTTTTTCAATGTCGTATAACAGCGTAGCGGCCTTCCTTTCTGTTAAGTTTTTCTATGTGTATATACCGGTGGGTGAATACGGGCGAGCGTGATACGAGTGTGTACGTATTATCATTATAAGCTCGAATACATCTACAACAGTTCTTAATTCTGTTTCGCTTATACTGCTACATTCGACTGTGATTTAGCGTTTTGTGATCTTAATCTCAGTTATTCACTTGCTCTCGAGTTGTTTAACTACGTACCGCCGACAACTATAGTGCTTTCAGGTAGACCATTATCAGACGGCCATCTTCTTCGTGTCTTACAATTATTTGTTATAAAAACCGCTGCCAAGAACGATGAAGAAAACAGATTTTATAATCGGTGAGCAGAATCAGCAACATAACCTGTGATCGCCACAGGCCCACATTATGTTAAAAATTGATCTGAAAATAAAACCGAATTAAGATACAAAATAAGAAAATTTAGTCCCCAAAACCGCTGTTATTATTTCCAGCAGATTGTAAACAATAAAGCTATTCATGGCTTCCCAAAAACTAAGAAAGATAAAAAGACCTAAGAAAAACTAAGAAACTAATGAAAACCAAGACGCACTAGAAAGACGTAGCTTGATTTTCGTGACGGGGCGGCATCGGGTCTATTTGCCACAGTGTCCGTCGACCAACTGGCGGATCATTGTTTGCTACAAACTGCAGGCTGGACGATAGGATAGTACAATACAAAGTAGAGATAAACAAGACAGAAGATAAACTTTCGTAGACGAACATTTTAATTGCAATAACAATAACAAAAAATAACGCACTTGCAAGTAATCGAAAGGGTATCCTGATAACAGCATTCAGCAGTCTAAATACCGGTGTAGCAATAAGAGTGTCAGCTCTGCCCGCTCGTATGGTAGAAACATACGTAGCCCACTAAGTTTCACTAAAGTGTCTCACATCGGCTCAACAATTTAGATTATAGCAGGATGTATTATAAGCAAACTGGTCGCCGGCCTGTGTGTTTCTCCAGTTGAACTCGTGAGCGCAGTCCACACTGAGCACCGGGTTCCAGTCCATTGTCGTTGCTTCACGGGCAGTCATGGTACTGATGTTGCGAAACGCTCCCGGTGAAAGAACATCTTTACTGGGCTTTATGTACGTTCCCATCGTAACCACGCCTTTTTTCTTGGCGGCAATCAGGTAAGGCTTCTTCTTGAGAAAATTGCGAAACCAGGCAAATGAGCAGTCACAGTGCAGACGTCGTACATTTTCGACAGCGGTGTCCGGCAACAGGCTTGTGTCAAAATAACCAGCATACTGCACACGAGCTACTAAACTATTGCCAATTTTATCCTCTAAAATCAACGATCGTAGATCCGGGAGATCGGTAAATGTGTAGGGTTCCAGTTCTCCGATGGTCGCCGACATTAGTTGTATTTGACGTAATCCGGGCATTCGGGAAAAATGCGCTTTCTTGATGACCAGATTGTGACAATGCAAACCCAGGAAGTAGAGAAGCGCCTGCGGCAGGTCGCCGAGTTTGTAGGTCTTTTCGGTGGTGTGCACGGTGGCGCACCTCATCACTGCCACTTGTATCACCTGGTTGCGGACGGGGTCCACCACATCAAAATTAATGGGATCAAATTCTTCCCGGTCTTCACTGTCTGCGTAGAACGCAATGCTGATGGCGCGCCGCGGGCTGATTCGGCGGAAGGTCTCCGCTCGTGTTTTCATACGGTCCCGTGTTTCCTCAGCGCAACCGAATTCGACAAAGGTCCACTTTGCCATAGATGCGTAGGGATGGCGCTGGAATTCCGCTTCGGATGCATTGAGACAGTTGGGAAAATCGGGTGCCTCCCACTCTTGGTTACAGTCTGTGTCCTTCATGAAGCGCACACAGAATTCCTCCCGTGTCAATGTGTCGGTGCGGAAGGGGAAGTCGGAATGAGAAAACGTTGACGGCGGCGGTGGAGGCACGGCACATTCGGTCTCCAGGTCATCGGTGAAACCTGTCGGCGAAATGCATGCTCATGTGAAACATTTTAAGAACAGTGGTGCTTACCAGTCGTCGACGCAGCTGAGAGCAGCAGCAACAGGGGTAAACTCATGGTGGTGGCACTTTGATGTGTTTTATCAGTGCGAGCATTCGTGATAATATATGTACGTTTTTGTGACAGTGCTGAAAAAGTGTCCAAGGAAAAGATGATTCACCACAAAACGACAACAAGAAGATTCTTAAGGGAAAATTTGGCTACAAATTATGGTTTACATGTACAGTTGTCCTCTTAGGTTGATCGGCGAAGACCAAAGCGTCGATTTTTTCCGAGAAAAAGTGTCAACTTTGCCAGGTATGAAACGAGTACAGTACGCTTTCTTATCAGACCAGCTTGCTGATCTGTTTGCTGAAATTCTCAATTAATACGGTACATGCTATACGAACAACCAACTAAGAAATAAATTACACGTGACACTGACAGGAAATTCGAGGACACGCTTTGCTGACTAACATAATTAACACTGTAAGTACTGAAAAAATAACAGACAGCTGCACCTCTTTTCAATGCCCTCGGCACGAAAAATGGTACTGCTGTACTGTTAAAAAATTCATAACGGTGGCCTGCAGGTTTACCTAATGGAAAATTGCTAGCAAGAAGTTTTGTGAACATTTTTCATTAGCTTTGCTGTATAACAGTAATGAGATACTGCCTTCCTTTCTGCTTTCTAGGTACATACAGTATATGCCGGTAGATGAGCCCAGGCGAGCATGATAATATTATCATGTAGTGCAATCGTAAGCTACCATACCTTAAACACTACGGTTCCATTTGCACTTCTACTGCTACAGACTACGTTCGATTTTTTAGCGATTTGCGATCTAATCACAGTTGTGCGTTCAAATTGCCCAGCCACCGTCGCCACCGACAGCTACACAGCAGATTTCCTCTCAGGTAGAATATTATTACACCATCTTCTTCGTGTCTTAAGTTTTATTAAAACCGCTACTAAAAACAGATTTCGCAGTCGGTAAGTTATCGGCCAACTGATGTATTATCGGTTACAGTAGGTACTGCCATTCTCTAAAAATTAAGCCGATCTAAGCACAGAAATTAAAATTAGGGTTCCCGAAATGGCTGTTCTTTTTCTCCACAGATTCTGAACGATGGAGTTATTCCCGGTATTATGGCTCGCTTGTTTCCTGTTAGCCGGTAAGGCCACCGGTAAGTGTTTAGCGCAAATATCGTAAATTTTGTTTACGGAAATGGTTCTAAAAAGCACTGTGATGCAGGTGTTGCTGTTCGTGACTATCACTAATGTATTCAAAGAATAACGGGAATTATACTGTTGCTCTTTAACAGGTGTTTCTGCTGGTTATGAACTGGAAACTGAGTGTAACCCGCCCGCCGCTAGTAACGCACCGACTCCAGCCGCAACGTTTTCATTCCGCGTGGATCGTTTAACCACCGATGAATGCAATGCCTATGTTGCGTTGATAAAGCCAGAGGGCGCTTGCAATCCTCCGATCATCCCCCAGTGCAACACCACCACCAACGACGAATTTCTCTTTCAACCGACATCCAAGACCTACCTCGATGTCGGCTGCAGCGCGAACGACCGCGCCGCGATGGTGCAATTAACCAAAAATATCCCGACCCTGGCCGCCAATCGCGCCACGAAAATCGAACTGCAGGAGCGCAACGACACCACCGACCCGGTACACACGGACGTCATCGAACCGATCCGCAACCAGCTCATCCATTTGTCTATCCGCAACTGCGTCACCAACTCGGCGACAGCAAAAGTCTACGATCTCGGGAATCTGCCGTTCGTGCTGCGGTTTGATATGCAGTCGTGCTGGGGTTTGGTCGTGAAGAAGCGCGATTTCGAACGGATGCCGCAGGTGCGCATGATGCGTTTTCTAGGGTCAACTATCGAGTCAATGGAACCGTACACTTTCACCAATCTCGGCTATCTGCGTAGCTTGGTGATCGAGGAGCACATCGCATACTTTATGGAGCAGAAAACCGATGGGCTTAAGCATAATCTGCCCGCGGGGAATTTCATTGCCGATGCGGATGTGGAACGAGTGAGGAAGCTGCACTGTGACTGCTCCTTTGCCTGGTTGCGCAACTTCCTCAAAAAGAATCCCAGTTTGATCGCGGAAAAGGTCAAGGGCCAAGCGTATATTCTGGGAAATTTCCTGTCGGCCGCCGTGTGGATTCGGGATAGCTATCAATCGGTGCTCAGTGTGGACTGCGGGAAAAATTTTACACAGGACAATGTCCGTGCCGGTACACAGTTCTCGTACAACACAGCGTGTTACAAAGTGCGCTGCTAACCGTAGTAACCGATGATGCTTATTAGATGCTGTTCCTGTTCACGTTACGAAATTTCTTGGGTTTGGCTTTTGGTTAAGGGCTGGCTGCATGTTGAGAATAAGAAACAGCAAAACCGTACTTAATAAAAGCCCTCACGGGTACATTTCGATAGGCGGTTTACTGAACGGTACCGAACAATCCAGATCCGCGACGTCACTAACAAGTAACCGACCAATTGACCGACCGATTACATAGCCAGGCCCGCGCTGGCATCTTTTGGGTAGGGGGGGCGGAAGGCCGCCGGGGGGCGGCGTGGAGCCCAAAAATCGCCGGGGGGCGGCCCAAATTTTGGAAATCCGCCCGGGGGCGGACTATTTTTTTAAAAAAATTTTAATAAAAAAATTTCAAAAAATTAGAAAAAAGCTTTAAAAAAGTGTACAAAATACGAAAGAATGATAATAAGTTTAAAAGAAACCTAAAAACTTGAAAAAACGCAATTATTATTTTTAAAAAATTCGAAAAAATCAAAAATTATTAAAAATTTAAAGCGCCCCCCTGGCGGCTCGGCTGCGCCAAGTTTAAAAGTCCGCCCCTGCCGGCGGCGCCAAACCGAGACTGGTGGGGGCGGCCGCCCCCACCGTCCCCCCCCCTCCAACGCGGGCCTGTCAGTAACACAGCCAGCAAAACGTTTTAGTATGAATTACTTTGTAAGACGATATCGCAGTGGTGAACGCTAGCTTCTACACACCTTCTGAAGTTCGACTACCAAATCAAACCTTAAATGAATTTTGAAGAGCTTGTGCAGACACCGTTGTGGGGAATAAATATTGTGTAATACTATCAATTTGAAAATACCTATGTGCCGTAGTAAAATATGTATGTATTTCACATATTTAGAGGTGGATGCCGAACACCGAAGCGGTAGTTCTGAACAACATCCGACACTGAAGTGGTGGGAATATTCTTAATGGAAAAAGCATGCATAAAAAAGCAAGCAATGTATAAAAAATGTATACAAAAAGTATGTACTGTATCTGTACTGTACTCTGTAAGTACATTGGTACTGTATTGCACGGGTCCATAGGAAATTTGGAGTGTATGCTGCGGTATGCTGATTGCATAATTGTTTTGTAGCATGATAACAGTGGGCCGCTGCACCTATTAATTGCCCCCAGCATGAAATTCGATATTGGTCTGCAGACAAAGAAATCTAAAAACCGTAATACAACGTATGACGAAAAAAGTGGATTCTTCGGTTTAAGACAACCAGTGTCCAGTGGTGACAATAATGTGATGCTTAATGCGTTAATCTGAGTTTGAACCCCGAATGGACTGACTGACTTTCACTTTTTGTTGTACATTGTAGTATACGAACTACTACTACCAATGAACAGAAACTACAAAGCGTCCCTACTGAACGAACCCGGTCCCAAGCCGTCCCAAGTACTGTCCCAAGTACTGTCCCAAGCCAGGACTTCGGGTGCCCATTTCTGGTTTCTGAAGGTCTTAATTATTACAACTTTTATTTTCAACGCTTCGTAAGAAGCGCACCGGCAGACAGCTGTTTCTTATTCTTGGCAACCATAAACTATGTCTCAAAAGCGCTGAAAAATCAGTCACTGTTGAATACGTAATTTTAGAAAGTAAAGTCCGTGCACGAAGCCAAAACCCGCGCGGACTCAAAACGGTCACCCCATGCGCGCAGCTAAAGCCCGTGTTTTCCCGTTCACGCAGCCATAATGTTTTTGTAATTGCCGGTGGTGGCATAGAGTCTAAGCGAAGCTGATCCCCTGTCCGCAAACACTGGCTTGATACCTGATGATACTGCTTAGTCCAACCGGACTAATACCGACTTTTTTGTCATTGGCCAAAAAAACCGAGTATTTCAAGTACGTAGGACGGTACGAGACAAATCAGACAAGCTTATTTATCCATACATATAGGAAATGCAATCTTAATTTTTAAACGGCTACGTACAACAAAGAGTCAGTTTTCTTGGTCATAAAACAAACCATAGAAGGTATGGAAGATAAAGCAAAAACGAAATTGTATACAGCCTGATGCCGCTTTAACCTCCTCCATCGTATGGAGCCGCAATCAATCCACGATACCGAAGTTCAATTTCATGGTACTTTAAAAATCAACAGTTCAAATTATAGCAAGATGTGTTGTAAGAAATTTGGCCACCGGCTTGTGTATTTCTCCAGTTGAACTCGCGAGCGCAGTCCACACTTAGCACCGAATTCCAGGTCATTGAAGTTGCCTCTTTCGCGCTCAATGTACTGACGTTTCGGAAAGTTCCCGGTGGAAGAACATCATTAGGGGCAGTTTAAACGTTCCCATCGTAACCACTTGGCCTTTTTTCTTTGCTTCAATCAGGTAAGGTTTCATTTTGAGAAAATTGCGAAACCAAGCAAACGAGCAATCGCAGTGCAAGCGCCTCAGATTTTCGACACCGGCATCCGGCAAGAGACTTGTATCATAATAATCAGCATACTGCAAGCGAGCCACCAAACTGTTGCCAATTTTATCCTCCAGAATGATTGACTGCAGATCTGGGAGATCGGTAAACGTATAGGGCTCCAGTTCGCCGATGGTCGCCGACATCAGGTGTATCTGACGTAATCGAGGCATCCTCGAAAAATGCACTTTCTTGATGACCAGGTTGTGGCAGTCCAAACCCAGGAAGTAGAGCAGTGCCTGTGGTAAATCACCGAGGTCGTACGTCTTGGCAGTAGTGTGTACGGTGGCACACTGCATCACCGCCACTTGTATCACCTGATTGCGAATGGGGTCGACGACATCGAAATTAATGGGATCATATTGTTCCCGGTCTTCTCTGTCGGCGTAGAATGCAATGCTGATGGCACGAAACGGGCTAATTCGGCGGAATGTCTCCGCTCGTGTTTTCATACGATCCCGTGTTTCCGCTCCGCAACTGAATTCGGCATAAGTCCACTTGGCTAGAGATGCGTACGGATGGCGCTGGAATTCCGCTTCGGATGCGTTGAGACAGTTGGGAAAATCGGGTTTCATCCACTCTTGGTTACAGTCTGTTTCCTTCATGAAGCGCACACAGAATTCTTCCCTTGTTAATGTGTCGGTGCGGAAGGGGAAGCTAGATGGAAAACAGCTGGTGGTGGCGACGGTGGCACGTTACACTCAGTTTCCAGATCATCGGTGAAACCTGTCGACAAAACTGCTGACAAAATGCGCATGTGGATTTTAAGAACAGTGCGGCTTACCGGTTACCGACGAAGCCGCAAGCAGCAGCACCAGCAGCAACGATAAACTCATGCCGATTGCTGGCACATCAATTTTGTTACTGTAGTGCACAACAGTACAAGTACTCGAACAGTGCTGAAAAAAACTCGAGAAAAACTGATGCAATGCACACCGATAACAAAATTTTTTAAGCCTCAAAAATTTGGCTACAAATTATGGTTTACAGGTGGACCAGCGAAGACCAAAGCGCCGATGTTTTCCAGAGAAAGTGTCTACTTTCCCACGCATAAAAACGAGTGCGCTTTGGTATCAGATCAGCTAATCTGTGTGTTGAAATTCTCGATTAATACGGTACATACTACAACCAGCTAAGAAAATAAATCACGCGGGCGCTTTCGAAATTCGATTACACGCTCTGCTGACTGACGTTTACTATTAACACTGAACTGCACTGAAAAATTAACAGACAGCTGCACCTTTTTTATGCCTTCGGGACGAAAAATGATATTGCAGTACTATCAAATAATTCATAACGGTGGCCTGCAGGTTTACCTAATGAATAATTGCCAGCAAGAAATTTTGTGAACATTTTTGCACTTGCTTTGCCGTATAACAGCCAAGCGGTACTACCTTCCTTTCTGCTTTCTAGTTTCTACTGGGTAGTACTTATATGCCGGTGGATAAACACAGGCGAGCATAATAATAATTATGAAGTGGAATCGTAAACTACTATTATCATACCTCTAACTCTACAATTCAATTTGCACTACTACAGACTGTACGTTCGACTTTGATTTAGCGATTTGCGATCTAATCACAGTTGTGCGCTCAAACTGCCCAGCCACCGCCACTAGTTGCTACAGTCAGATTTCCTTTTAGGTATAACATTATTACACCATCTTCTTCCTGTCTTAGTTCTTTATAAAACCGTTGCTAAAAACAGATTTCGTAGTCGGTAAGTGAATCGGCAAACTGATGTGTAACGGGGTACAGTAGACATTGCGATTCTCTAAAAAGTTAAGCCGATTTAAGCAAAGAAATTAAAATATGGTCCCCGAAACGGCTGTTATTTTTCTCCACAGATTCTGAACGATGGAGCTATTCCTGGTATTATCGCTCACCTGTTTCCTTTTAGCCGGCAAGACAACCGGTAAGTGTTTAGCGTAAATATCACTTATTCATTCGAATGGTAATGGGAAGAATGATTTACTTGCATTACAGGTGTTTCTGCTGGTTATGAACTGGAAACTGAGTGTAACCCGCCCGCCGCTAGTAACGCACCGACTCCAGCCGCAACGTTTTCATTCCGCGTGGATCGTTTAACCACCGATGAATGCAATGCCTATGTTGCGTTGATAAAGCCAGAGGGCGCTTGCAATCCTCCGATCATCCCCCAGTGCAACACCACCACCAACGACGAATTTCTCTTTCAACCGACATCCAAGACCTACCTCGATGTCGGCTGCAGCGCAAACGACCGCGCTGCGATGGTGCAATTAACCAAAAATATCCCGACCCTGGCCGCCAATCGCGCCACGAAAATCGAACTGCAGGAGCGCAACGACACCACCGACCCGGTACACACGGACGTCATCGAACCGATCCGCAACCAGCTCATCCATCTGTCCATTCGCAACTGCGTCACCAACACGGCGACAGCAAAAGTCTATGATCTCGGCAATCTGCCGTTCGTGCTGCTTTTTGATATGCAGTCGTGCTGGAGTTTGGTCGTGAAGAAGCGCGATTTCGAACGGTTGCCGCAAGTGCGCATGATGCGTTTTCTGGGGTCAACTATCGAGTCAATGGAACCGTACACTTTCACCAATCTCGGCTATCTGCGTAGCTTGGTGATCGAGGAGCACATCGCGCACTTTATGGAGCAGAAAGCCGATGGGCTTAAGCATAATCTGCCCGCGGGGAATTTCATTGCCGATGCGGATGTGGAACGAGTGAGGAAGCTGCACTGTGACTGCTCCTTTGCCTGGTTCCGCAACTTCCTCAAAAAGAATCCCAGTTTGATCGCGGAAAAGGTCAAGGGCCAAGCGTATATTCTGGGGAATTTCCTGTCGGCCGCCGTGTGGATTCGGGATAGCTATCAATCGGTACTGAGTGTGGACTGCGGGAAAAATTTTACACAGGACAATGTCCGTGCCGGTACTCAGTTCTCGTACAACACAGCGTGTTACAATGTGCGCTGCTAACCGATGATGCTTATTAGATGCTGTTTCTATTCACGTTACGAAATTTCTTGGGTTTGGCTTTTGATTAATGGCTGTCCGCATGCTGAGAGTAAGAAGCAGCCGGTGCGCTTGTAACAAAGCGTTGAAAACAAAAGTTGTATTACGTAATTAAAATCTTCAGAAAACCAAAAATATGGACGCCCGGACTAATAGCTTGGTTTCTTTCAGTTGGGACACTTGTAGTTTTCGTGCATTGAAAGTTACCGAATCAAATATTAACGCAAATTAAACACCACATCGTTAGCACTGGCTTGCCATAAACCGAAGAATCCACTGTTTTATCTGCAGACCAATATCTCATTTCATGCGGGGTGCAAATATTAGGTGCAGCGGTCCGTTGATTATCATGCTATCATATAATTATACAGTATAGCCCGTACAGTATACATACTTACAGTGCAGATTCAGTACATACAGACAGGTTAGAATGTACTGCATTTAAAGATTAAGCAACGGAAAGATGGGGTGAGTTGGTTGAACAGCGCACTCGCTCAGTAGCTGGCCACGGAGCGTGACAGCCCAAGTGGTGGCGGGACATTTCGTCGGTGGGACATTGCGCCACACGTTTTTCGTCGCAGCGGCTGATTTATTTGGGAAGAACTCATATTGCAGCCGTTTTGTTGTGTGACATTTGGTTGCGTGATTTTTGGGGAGTCGAAAAATTATCGACTGGTTTATGGGAGCGAACAGTCGTATTAGTATCTGCCACAAAAACGAGTTGTCCTTTGCCGAAATGTCCGTGAAACCAAATGTCCCGCGACGACCCGTCACGTAGCCCGACGGAGACATATCGATAGCTTTGCTCTTTGCAGATGAGCCTGCTAATCATGCAACACTAAATCGAAATTTTCTGAATTTGACATTTACCTAATGAGCGTACAAACTGTGCGTTGCACCTGTTTTGCTTTTGGACTGTTTTTCTTTTCTTCGGGCTTTGGAGTTTTTTGCAGAACTTTTTTACGAAAACCTCGACTGAAAGAAAGTGGCAAAAAAGGCCCAGCCGGCATGGATTTACCGTTGCTGCTGCTGCTTCATTGACCAGTACGTAACACTATCTGCATTTTTAATACAGTCAGCAGCTGTCAACAGTTTTGTCTGCAGGCTTTACCGATGACGGGAAGACCGAGTGCAGCCTATCTCCCTGGTTACCAACACCGGTTCCTTCATCCGACTTCCCCTTCCGCAGTAATACACTAACACGGGAGGAAATTCGCGTGCGTTTCATGCCGGAAGCAACTTGTACCAAAGAGTGGATACGAGGTAGTCCGAACTGTCTCAGCGCATCCAAAAAAGAATTCCAGCAACACCTCTATGTCCAATTGCACGTTGGACCTATGTCGAGCTGAAGTGTGAGTTTGAAAAGCGCGACCGTGTGATGAAACAAACGGACGCATCCAGCCAAATCAGCCCCCGGCCGACCATTAGCCTAGGCCGTCTAGCGCTCTATGAAGAGGACCGGGAAGATCCCATTAATTTTGAAGTACGTGATCAACCCCATTCGCAACAAGTTGATACAAATAGCAGTGATAAAGTATTTCACTGTGCGCAGCAGCGAAATGACAAACAAACTCGGAAACTTACCACAGGCGTTGTATTACGCTTTGGGATTGCACTGCAACAACGTGGTCGTTAAGAAAGTGCATGCTTCCCAAATGCCTCGATTACGTGTGATACATTAATTAGCGGCGAATTGGAGCCCTACACCTTACTGACCTCCTGGTTCTGCAGACATTGGTTTTGGAGGATAAAAATGGCAACAATTTCGTAGCGCGCTGATAGACCAGTATAGTGTACACACACCAGTATAGTGTACACTTCTCCGGACGGAAATGGTCGGGCGATCCTAACCTGTGCAGCTTAGTAACAATATTGATTTTAGCAGACACGCTGTGCAAATTAAATTGTCGAATTTAGTAAATTTTCAGGAAGGTAAAAATCACTTTGACTTAATAGGGTCAAGCTGACGCACAGGCGGCGCTTCTGAGCCTTTAAGATGGTGGCTATTTACCGCTATACACTTGAATTTTCTAGCCATGTCTCTTCGGCCAGGAAACAATTTGAAGGAAAATTATGAGACTCAAATTCAATGTTTATGTTGTGAATGTATTGCGGTAAAGTAATTAATACCGGTAGTAAAGCAACGCTGTAAAGTGTATTGTATATATTACTTTCATTATTGATAGTTCAGACTACAGTGCATATAAACCGCTCGATTACAACATCACATTAGCGCTCGTGCCGGCTGCATGTACAAGTACATACTCTGTATCGACTGTATGTAGATGTATAGTATTATTTTGAGCTTTGTTTTAATACCCGTCAAGCGACTGTTGAAATTCACAGTGCAACTACAAAAATTACTGCTCGTAGAAGGTACTGTATTAAATGCAGCGCTACGCTGTTATCAAATTAACCAAAACCAGTTCATCGCACGGTAGCAGTAACATACCGAGATCGTGCATGCGGTAAAAGTGTACCATGTGCATGATTTTAAATACACAACGGGTATCTGTTCCGGAGAATCGCATATGATCGATCTGCCGGATAATGAGCGAGCCGCTCGCTCTAAATGCAAGTATAGTGCGTACGAGTACCGTTGAGTACGGTAGTCCACATTACACCGCACTGCTTGCCTAGACGCGGGTGCTTCAGTTTGATGCTCAAGAGAAGCTATAGTAGAGCATGTGGTTATCATGTACCGTACTAACACCGTCAACAGTTGCATTCTAAGGGAACAAAAATTCATAGATTTTGCTTGGTGTCGAAATATCGTAATTTTGCATCTTAGTACAGGCCGATGAACAACCAAAATCCTACCCTGTTTCCTACGCGGCAAGCCACGCCGGAAGTCCGGGTGAGCTTTACCATTTCCCGCAACAGCTTACGTACACACCAGACCGAAGAGAACCTACCGGATGAGAAGGGGATTCTGCGCCGATTTAGAATATGCACTCACGAAACCAACTTGATCGTTCCCAGCCAGGAGGGGTACAAAGAGATCCCTGCCGGGTTATGGAAATTTTCCATACACGAATGTGCGATACGCGAAATTGGATCGAAAGTATATCACGGCAAGGAAACTAATGTTTCGCTGATACTGTGCGCCACCCCACTGGAGGAACGTCAAATTAAATCACCTGGCTTTTCCGATTTCCTGCTTGACTTTTTTATGAGGTCAGTCTTGTTAAATACAGATATTCTCACAGAAACAAATTCTAATTTGGACGAGTACGCTTATAGTTACTGCAAATCGCTATTTCGCTTCATTTTTAGCTCCCAACTCTATGGCTTGTGATTTCTGAATCTTCGTGGTTCACACAAAAATATGGCATTCTCAAAAACATTTTAAGATTACCACATCTTTGTGGCAGTCTTTTATTATTTTCGCACACTTTATTGATTTTAAGAAAATTGTTGTTATGGAGTTTACAAGCTACAAGTTTGAGGATTTTGGTTGTTTTCGGAATTTGTAACCGTAGTATAATCGTTGTTGTTAAACATGAAGGAAACCAATTAAGCAATAATCATCAGCTACAACTTACTCGTGGCCGTGGGTAATGCTCCGATGCACAGTATTATTCATATTTTGCCACTTTTTTATCAGAAAAGTAATAACTACGTATAGTAGCTATGGCATCCAGCTATACTAATTCGAATAATTATGAAATAGTTATGGACCTATTCGATGAAGAACCGGTTAGTTTTAATATCATTTTCTCTGCGTTATCATTTGTCTCAATTTTATAATTATTATCAATAACTATTATCAATTATAATAATTGATAAATAACTGAATTATTTATCAATTATCTTATATTATTATCAATATATCATTATTTTATAATTATTAATTATTATTTTAAAATTACTAATATTAATTTTTTTTTCTTTTTGTTAAACTCTCATCGAGAATTTATTTTTTTAATAATTTCTTTCTAGTGGATCGGATGCCGGCAAAATTATGAAAGGATCAGCCACTCTAAATAACCAGACATTCCAATGCACGCCCATTAAAATACCTCACATCGGTTACTTTTCCCATAAGGATGCACTTCCCACCGACGCATGGAATCTCGAAATGGTTTTCCATATCGGTTCCTTGGCGAAAAACACCATGTCCAAACAGCTAGGCAACATTCTGCGGTCGGCGACCTTTACCGACTGTACTCTGGTGTCCGCTGACGAGCGGTCCTTTCCTGCGCATCGGGTCATTTTAGCCGCACAGTCGCCGGTGTTTGCCGCCATGTTCAGTCATGACACTTTGGAGAAAACGAGTGGTGTCTGTACGATCGCCGACGTCCGAGGGGAAATACTGGATATTGTGCTGGACTTCCTGTACCGGCATATCGTGTTCGAAGGTATCAAAAATAACGCCGAAGAAGTTCTGGCGGCGGCGGATAAATATGATTTAGATGATCTGCGTAGTGTGTGCGAAGATCTTTTAACGGCAGAGTTGCGACAGGAGAACGCTGCACGATTCCTTCGTATTGCGGTGAATTACGGGCTGGATAAGTTGCTGAAGAAAGCAGCGCGTATTGTATCGGCCGAATAGATGTACTGTTGTTACTTGAATTTTGTAAAGTATACATAAGTTTGTACTGTACATATACATAATAATGATACGTATGGAAGCATATATAATTATACTGTTTTCATTCGAGCGCAAAAGATACGCGGCTCGTACAGACTGTATATACTGTACATGCTTCGAATATCAAAATAATACAGGAACCGATGAAACTGTAAAGATGCTCCATAGATTTACAGTATGTATGTATGCTGGCGCCCTTCAGTCGTAGGTGGAATCGAAAGCACTACTGTTAAACTGAGCAGTTCCAGAGAAGCTCCCTTGAGGGGCTGTTGAGCCGCCTTCTTAATTCCACGGAAAATATTTTTCGATGCAATTCAGATCATAGACAGCCATACAGTTAATGAACCGTGATTAATTCCCGACTTTGATAATCTGTTTGAGCATCCCAGGTCGGCTCGACAAGGGCGGTAAACCACAAGCATTCGCGATCGGTATTGGTGGTATAGCATCGGACGTGACTCTAAGGCACAGGTGGCCACTCTTTTGATCCACGATCTCTCGGCAAGCAGAAGTAACCACAAATGTGAATCATGCCAAATCAGAATCAATTGTGCAGCTTCGAACTAACATTTGTTGCATTCCTGATTTGTCTTTCCTTTTCAGTAGCACAGCGCTTTGAATTAATGAAATATCGCAACCGGAGAGCAGATTCTATAGTGGTAGATGCAGGCTGTTAGTGCATATTAGAAAAATAAGAATTGCATGTTCCATATTAGAAAAATAAGAATTGCAAGGTTCCACCACCCCTTGTGGCTGTGTAAGAACCGGTAACCAGCCCCCGCCAAACTTACGCTACGAATCAGTTACTGTATCTTAGGCACATGCGGCAGAGCATGGCAGCGTTGTTTGCTAATTCATAGTTACCAAACATATCATATTCTTAATCAAGTGGCAAACATCTGGCATTATGTAAAGCAAAACAAAGCAGGGAGTTATAAAATATCATGTCATGAGCGGTTGGATTTGGATTTCATTGCACGGTACGCACCCGCCTGGGTATTTGTGGAACGTTGTGGAAGAATGTGTACAGTAGGTAAAGTTGACGTTACGCAACCTTGAAATTCGGTTAATTAAGTCATCAGTTACAGTATAAATTTCTGCAATATTGTGACGCGCTCGGCAATGTATTGCAAAAGAAAATTATGGCACACTTAGGGTTTCTTTAAACGCTCTCATCATCATGATTGGTTCACTGGATCGCTGGATTGGTTCACTGGATGAAAGATCTACAGGAAATTTATACAAAACATGTGATTTATCTTGCATACCTTATATTTTTGCATATGATCTATGTATCGTAGCCTACGAAAACATTTACAAGATCGGAATGAGTGGATAACAAAACTGCAGGGTACAGTAGGCATTAAGCATACGTCCACAGCTTGCTGTGCATGTACTGAACAATGTACGAGTAGCTTACGCTACGCCGTTATGAGAAGTTTTTATATGCACTGAATAAATGTTGTCAGAGGAATGCTAAGTGAAATATTTGGGGCGTCAGAAATGTACCGGTAGCAGTAAACGTGTTTTCCAGACGGATGTGAACATATACGTGGAATGTAGGAATTTTTGGCGGCCGTAAACTAACCAGAAATTACACGAGCTCGCGGCAACGTTGAAGGGTGAAGGAATGCATCTTCTTCTGGTCTCTGGTTTTAAGCCGGAACCAAACTTTAACCTAATGACGCCTTGGAGACCATAACGAAAACTAGCTAACTACAGGTATACAGTTGGGAGATACGGATACGACGCTTACACAAACCATTTACTGCATGTCTTCGTTAACTTCACTTAGCCGATCTTGATAAATTTAAAGTACTTCGCATCCTGCATTTATGGTCAGAAGTTGCTTTATATAAGAGTGTCACTTACAACCGGAAGCTATGCAAAAATCAGCTATATGTAGTGCTATAAAACCGATCCTGCATCAGTATTTCAATTACGAAGAATTCAGTTTTATTGATAAACAGCACCTTTAATTACAGCCTAGGCTACCATTAAACAACAATCGTGTCAAAAACATGCCATCCAAAAAAGTTATCGTGTTTAGCATTGTGGTCTTAGCTTACGTATCGGAATCCGCATCCGGTGTGTGGACCCCTTTAGAAGATCCTTCAAAAGCCCAAGCTTTAAAAAATGCTCAAGAAAGATTTGAAACGTTCAGCGAATCTAGAACGAATGTTTCTTCAGAAAACGGTCAGTTGCCCATGTTTACCGGCACTACAGATAAACCAGTTACTAGCCAAGATTCAGAAAATCAGTTTATTGGATGGTTTATCACCACGGGCTATGCGCTTACTCTGGGTCGCGATATTGCTAACATGACGCAGAAAATGGAAAAGGTCATGGCCAGCTGTTCGAGTGGATACCTGGCGTTATCCGATCGCGTCCAATCCTTGGAACAGTCCATGAAAAACGAGTTAGCCAGTACAACAACACAGCTCAACCAGGCGTTGTCCGATCGTGTGCAGTCCTTAGAACAGTCTATAAAGAACGAGTTAATCAACACAACAACCCAACTCAACCTGGCATTGTCGGCTCGCGTGCAATCATTAGAGCAGTCCATGAAAAATGAATTTGCATCTGCAACAGCACAATTCTCTCAGGACATCCAGAATCTGCGGCTGATGTTAGTTAGCCGCCTCACTCCATTAGCATTCGGTGTGGATATTGCCGCACATGCTTCCATGAAGTGCTCTCTAAAGAAACGCGGTCGACCACTCCCAGGTGAGTCACAGCTAAGGTACTCTTGATTTTTATGTAGCTACGGGCATAAAAATTGTTCTCCAATTTACGTGGGGATCCTGAAAATGGACGATTATCTGTATGCTGAGGAGCGATTCTGCTCTACCGACAACACAACCTGCTTGTACCTACAGGGGAATGGAAATCTGGTGTTGTATCAGACCAGTACGCTGAAAGTTATATGGACAGCGAATTCCGGTCGCGGAGACTGTCGGTCTTTTGTCAAGATGCAACGTGATGGGCGTGTTGGACTGTATCATTACCCTTATGATGGTCTAGCTAGCTGGGTGACACCTATATTCAAAGGTATGACTTGAAGTCCGAGAAACGTCATTACAATTTCATTTTCGTAAACATTGCTGCAAGTAGAAATTGCCCTTCAGAAATAATCTCCTGTATGTTCCTGCTTTCGAAAACATCAACTATGTAAATACCTTATATTACGGTTTAGATGCCGAGCTAACGTTCCAGCATAATGGACATCTGTGTATGAAGGTGCATTCAAAGATTGCAGAAGGGCAAGACAGGGACTGTCTTTGGACTACGGATTTAATTAGTGCGCCAATCTAGTATTTGCAGCATTTTAAATCAAATCTGACGAACTGGCTAATGTGCACGTTAATTTCTAGAGTAGGCGCCCGGTATCATCAATATTAGGCTAATCAGCAACTTATTTTTTCCCGTTGTAATTTTCTAGTTTTCCACTCGGCTTTTATGTTAGCTAATATCTGATGCAGTTTGCAGATAGTTTTATTATGCAGTCGCTTTACCTAACAAAAGGCATAATGTACTCTGTTTTTAAAGAACGCTGCCAACCCCAGCACAAAATAATAAAAAAATGGATCTAGGCAGACAGTGCAATGATAGACAATGGCAAAGCACGCTGATTTAGAACTTATTTTAGGCAAAACCCACTCAAGGAGGCCTGAATTGACAGATGTTAACTGCAGCACAGGCGAGCTTTCCGCCGACTAGCTGAGTAATTTACAGCGTTCAGATTTAGCGACTGCAGGATTTTTTATCGATTTATTCTGCATCAGATGTGACAACATAGTTTATGCCATTATTTTATAAAATCGCCTTCTATAAAACCGTTTGCTGATGGACGTACATCTTCTGGCCATCGGGTCATTTTAGCCGCACAGTCCCAACGCTGCACGATACCTTCGTACTGCGATGAATTACGGTCTCATAAATTACTTAAGAAAGCTGCGCGTATTTTTTCGGCTGAATAGATGCATCTATTCGCTGACAGCAAACGCTGTAGGCTGCTGTAGAGGACAGTTTATGATAATTATTAGCTTCGCACATACGAGTAGCCGGAGTAGGTACATTTTGCTTTTTATAATTATTTTTTATATCTGTAGCCTGTACGTATTAAAATGCGAAGTAAAAAACCTGTACAATGGGAAAATATTTTCTCTAGATGTGCACATGTAGTCGTAGTCTAATGTATGTTATTCGTAATAATTGTAGAATCAAATGCGGTGATCTATTAGTTCAACACAAGAATACATTTTATTGGAAAACTGGCCTAGGTGGCCTTGGAAGGTAAAAACCACATCTTAAATGCACATTTCCAGGTTAACTCTGATCTGAATGCTGTTGTAAAATTGAGCTTATCAAAATCCGCGTTTCCGAAAATTCCCAGCATAACGGTGTTTAATGTCAGAAGCGGCGTATTAAAGGGAGAAAAACAGAAGCATTCCCAAAAATCTGCCTTCCGGAGACTAAGACATTTTTGGGTGTTGCTAAATTTAATAGCTAAGATGGAATTACAGAACCGTAAATAATTCCCGGCTTTGGTAATCTGTTTGAGCTTCCCAGGTCGGTTCGATAAGGACGGTAGACCACAGGCACTCGTAGTCACTATTTGCGGTAGCGCCGGACGTGAATCTAAGGCACAGGTGACCGTTCTTTTGAAAGACGAGCTCGGCATCTGCGGGAGTAAAACATTATTAAACCATGGGAGCACGACATAGGTAAGGAAGGTTCAGGTCGGGAAGACAGTAACCGTGCCACGGTTACCCTGGTTCTTAAAACGTTTACTGTTTAACTGCTCGCTGCTGTCAACCGCGGTACATACACACTGTTGTCTTTAAACATTTATGAAGCAACGCAAAGAAAAATTGGAATATCGTTAGTTTGCATTGCTGAAATATGTACCGTTGCCGAATTAACTCTGAATATTCCAAAATCTGTACCTACAATAATATACAGTCCCTATTCTTCTGATCTTCTTTTTAAACTGTTTTAACGGTAGAAAATTACAATAATGTTTTTGAGTTCGCTGTAATTCGTATCCATCTCATGAATAAAATCATCACAAACGACAACCATTTTCAGTATTACCAAACAGTACGAACATTACGACA